CACTTACCACGTGCCAGGAGTTGTGTTAGGCACATGGTTGATAACAGTGAACTAGACCCTTGGCTCCTGCCCTTGACAGAGGTATATTATAGTGAAAGAGACAGGCCAAAACCAAATGCAAAAGTAAACAGAAACATACATAAAGCACAACAAATTAATATTTTAAAAAATTTTATTTGTTATACTTTAAGTTCTGGGGTACATGTGCAGATCATGCAGGTTTGTTACACAGGCATGCACATGCCATGGTGGTTTGCCGCATCCATTGCCTGTTCATCTACATTAGGTATTTCTCCTAATGCTATCCCTCCCCAATCCCCCAGCCCCCCACCCCCCAGGCCCCAGTGTGTGATGTTCACCCTCTGTGTCTGTGTGTTCTCATTGTTCAGCACCCATTTATGAGTGAGAACCTGCGGTGTGTGGTTTTCTGTTCTTACGTCAGTTTACTGAGAATGATGGTTTCCAGTTTCATCCCTGTCCCTGCAAAGGACATGAACTCATCCTTTTTTATAGCTGCATGGTATTCCGTGGTGTGTATGTGCCACATTTTCTTTATCCGGTCTATCATTGATAGGCGTTTGGGTTGGTTCCAAGTCTTTGCTAAGCGCAACAAATTATATCAAGTATTGCATGGAAACACAGAAGGGGCTGGGAGACAGGATGGGGCGATATTAGAGTAAGGCCTCTCCGAACCATAAAGCAAAACAAGGAGCCAACGTGGCAGGCTCAGAAACAGGTGCCAAACAACTGCTGGCCTGTGCCAGGCCTGAGAGGAGAGTGAAGGGAAGGGAGTCTGGAGCTCTGGGGCCTTACGGACCAGGGTCAGGAGTTTGGTATCTATTCTACTATGGAAAACCCCTGGGAGGTTTTAAAGCAGGGAAAAGACACAATTCCATTTACATTTTAAAAAGCTCATCCCGCTAGAGGCTGGAGCATGTAGAGTGGCTCTTAGGGACAAGGGTGGTGGGTAGTGGCAGACAGGAAGAAGGTTATTGCAACACAGGGCAGCACCAGGGCAGCGGGATTAGAGGCAGGAAGAGAGAGAGTTTTTGAGTATGGACATTTACACACAAAAACATAATTATTTTACAAATCATCAAATATCTCAGATCTTAGCACTAGACTTTCCATTATGATGGCAAATAAAACTAGAGACCAAAAAATAAAATAAAATACAGCATAATCCTAGCACTTCGGGAGGCCAAGACAGGTGAATCACCAAAGGTCAGGAGTTTGAGACCAGCCTGGCCAACATGGTGAAACCCTGTCTCTACTAAAAATACAAAGTGTGGTGGCATGCACCTATAATCCCAGCTACTCGGGAGGCTGAGGCAGGAGAACTGCTTGAAACCAGGAGGTCGAAATTGATTGCAGTGAGCTGAGATCGTGCCACTGCACTCCAGCCTGTAACAAAGTGAGACTCCCTCTCAAATAAATTAATATAAAATAAAACACTAGGAAATAAAAGAAATAAAGACCTAAATTAGAACTTGAAGCTGGGATGTCCATCTCCTTTTTCTCACTTCAAAGAATGTAGACTTTGAGTCTTTGTATCCTGCTAGGCTGTGAGATGTCTCCCATCCCAAATGTTTTTCCTAATTAAGTGGTCCTTATTTATGACTGAAAATTATATAAATGCTTATGGAAAAAAAACCCACGTGGATTCTGGTATCAGTTACCAAAATAAGTTTCAATCATGCTCCCATTGTTTGAGACTTGTGTAAGATGCCCAGTGAACCTGCCAGCCAGTGTTTCTCAAAAGTGTTCCAAAGACTTCCTAGGTTAAAATAGGAGTCAGGAGGGCAGCGGATTAAAAATGCAGATTTAGGGAGCCCCCCTTAAATCCACTAAAGCCATCTTTGAGGTGGGCCCTAGAATCTGCATTTTCACAAGCTCCCTAAGTTGTGCCCTGTAGAGTCTGAGAAGCTCTGCCTTGAAGTGATTCGTACCATGCTGAGAAATGACCTGTTAGGCTAAAATATAGAGAAGGAGGTGGAATTAAAATTATGACTAGGCTAAATAAATATACGCAAAGAAATAAAATCACCCTCAAATCTCATTACCACTAATGTTAATAATCATTGTAAACAGTTTGGTAGATAGTCTTCCAAACCTGCCTTTATGCACATATGCATTCTTTATTTTTTTTTATAATAAAAGGTGAGTACACCCTTCTATTCTGTTGGAATTGACTTCATGAACACAATATGTCTTTTAATAAATACACTCATTCTTTATTGCCTGGATGCTGATGAGGGCACAGTGAGGGGGGATGGGGCAATGCCCAGAGGGAAATGACATCTACCAGGATCTATGTCTTTAATAATCGGAGGAGGTATTGCAGGGAAATGGATGGCTGACATGAGAGAATTAGAAACATATTTTATCTTGGAAAAGACAGGTATTCTCTGATTGGTGGATCTCTGGAAATTAATACAAACGGTGTCAAGAATACGCCTTGCTGGATGAAGGCATCTCCTAAAAAGCCAAGCAGTTTTCAGACAAAAAGGCATAGCAAGCAACTGTCAAAACACAGTGCCATGTTGAATACCGTCAGCTTCTGTCCATCTGCTGTCTCAAAAAAAAAAAAAAAAAAAAAGAAAAAGAAAACAAAATCTAGCTTCTCCCTTCCATTCCAGGGATGCTGACAGAAGAAGAGAGCCAGATTCCAGCGCAGTAAGTTTATCTGTTTTATTATTTTGGACATCACGGTGGAAAACTTCAACATTCTCTCGGCTTTCGCATCTAGTGAATCTACAAGGTTTCATACTCTTTGCTTTCTTTTTTCAGGGTTGAAGTGTTTTGGGTAGAGAGTTGCCAGGTTTAGCAAATAAAAATACAGGCTTTCCTATTAAATTTAAATCTCGGATCAACAACAAATGTATTTTGAGCATCAGTCGGGGGAATACAACATTCAGGACATACTTATATTAAAGTATCTGTTGTTTCTCTGGAATTCAAATTTAACTGGGTGTCCTACGTTACATCTCACCACCCTATTCAGAGGGAAATATTGATACAGAACTGAAATTTCCTAATTAGAAGTAAAAACCCTTCAGTTAACCTAGAAGCAATGTGGATGTTCATTAACAACATCCTTCTGTGTTTCAGAAGTGTTGCTCCTAAAGAAAAAATGAAAATGACCCTGGATAATGTAACATCAGCTACCTGAAGAAGACAGTGGGCAGGGACTCCAGCTTTTAGTTTGCATCAGAGTAGCAGAAGTCAGCTTGCTTCTTGCTTCCTTTAAGTGATTGGCTGTGGCGAAAGCAATCGTTGTTCAGATACACAGGAATCTACTTAATCTTTCAAATGCTGGTCATGCTCCCAGATAATGATCCAACACGTGCTTATGTTGCTGCTGCTCAAATTAATGCACGCAGGGGTTGTACAAAGTCAGGTTCAGAACGGAGTTGATGCTCCAGCAGGGAGCCGGTCCCTAGACACAGAGGCCAGCACTTTTAATTGATAATGAGCAGACAGAAGAAGAAAATGGGAACCCTGAGATCTAGTGGAAGAAGTGAAATAATTTACTCAGTTTGTTTTCCTGGAAAGGAAGACTTTATGTCAAGAATCTGTAATAAAATTAGCCAAGGCGCACACACTCGACTCCATAAAATGCCTAATCACCTTGCTGGTCTGCAGCACCTTTTCCTCTTTATGGGAGCATTGATCAGTTTTTTAATCTCCTTTGTTTGATTAACATTAGAATCAACAACTGCAACCTGCGTTAGGTTCCAGTAAAGTGTTGTATTTACAAACTTATTAAGGAAGATAGTTTTTTTTGGGGGGGAGGGGGTGCTTAGCTATAACAGTCTCAAGCCCTAAGTAGCAAACAATGCTTTTAAACTTTTATTTTATGAGGAAACACACACACACACACACACAAAGAGACAAAATCTGTCGTTATTTAAGGAGGCAAGACACTGCAGTAAGCAGTCATCACTGCTCCAACACAGTTTTATAGAGGGAAATACATTATTAAGTCTATATTTTTCTGAGTTTCTGATCTTTTTTCCTCTTAGAACATTTATTTAAAAAGAACACAAAGTTGATTCTTCTTTGTGAATAACTAATGGCTTAATGATGATCTATTCCAAACAGCAATAGTTTGAATCTATTCATAAGAAGTAGTCAGACTTTTGGATGGATCCAAGGCCTTTAGATTCTGCCAAAATTCCTGTGGATTCTGATTCCCACGTAACAGAGCCGTGGCAGCTCCTGCAAACACTCGGTGCACCCCAAAATGAATTCGGTGTGATTGGGACGATAGGACACTCCATCCTACCCAACCCCAGTCCCCATCATCACTTGATTTTCAGGACTCTCAGTCTCAATGTGATCTCCATCCACCTACTTTAAAAATCTACTTTTCCTAAACACCTTTGTTTCTCCTGCAGTTTTCTGCAGGGGGTTTCTAAAGGTGAAGCAGTTTTTACTTCTTCATCATCAAAATAAGTGACGGGGAGAACGGATACATTTGGTAAGCTTCATTATCATTCCTGCAAAATGTATACATTTTATAGGAATGATAATAGCTAACAATTATGAGGCACTTGTCATCTGCCAAGCACCTCTGATGCATTATCTTACTTAACCCTCAAAGTAACTCGGGAAGGCAGTTATTACTGTTCCGTAGGATAGGTAAGGACATCTGCACCCTGAATGGTTAATCGCTTATCTGCATCTATACAACTAAGCAGGTGACAGAATAGGATTCAAACCCAAGCTGCTTTAGTCTAAAGTCTACCCTTAACGCTACCGCTATCCTGTGCAACTTAAATGCAGATAAAGGTTGCAAAAACCTGGTACACAGGGCGACAGAAAATGTCAGTGCTTTCTCTCGCCACGTGGCAGTGCCAGTCAGTTGTAACCCGCATCCAGAACCTTCTTCGTAGGGAGGCCTTGCCTGGGACTACAACTCCCAGGATGCTGCAGGTGGAGAAACTGGCCAATCAGGGGGCACGGCTTTGCCTTCCCGTGGGCACCCGGCGCCTAACTGTCAGAACCTCGGTGACCGTTGGCAGGGTGGGTAGTGATGGCTACGAGGTCTTGAAGGAGCCTCATCTGGTTTGGGAAGGTGACAACCTCTCAAATTTCCAGGCTGCCCGAGGCTCCATCTCCACCACCCAGCGGTGGGCAGTGGGCCGGGCTGGCCTCCGGGCCTCTCCCCGGAGTCGGTTGGGCCGAGAAGCGGGCGGTCGGCTGGGTGGGCGAGCGGCTGGTGGCCGTCCGCGGGCCGGGTCACGCTGAGGGCATCTTACGTTGCCCTCACCCTGTCCGCTTGGCAAGAAACCACCGAGAAACTGACCGGGCCCCTACGGTTCATTCCAAATCCCGTCTGGGAGGGCGAGGACCGCGGAAACTCGCGGCCGCCTCCGACTCCATCGTTAGCCGTCGATTAGGTGGTTGGGCCGCTCACGGCCCCACAGATCTGAGGTTCTTCACGGGCCCCTGGGTCGCTGAGGGCCCCAAAGGCTTGGGGGCTCCTCCCAGGGGTCGGTTGGGCGAAGGAGGAGGCTGGGCTTTCAGAATAGAAGCTGCGGGGCCAACGGTGGATCCGCAGCGCTGAGGGCCTGGGCGGCGTCCTGTGGCCCCGAGACGGCGCTTTGGGAACATCAGGCCTGAGTCGGCGACATCCTGGCCCCTGGGCCCCCGGGCCCTCGCCACCTGCAGCCTGGGCTCTGCTTCCCCGCTCCCGGGGGATTGCTGGTGGAGCAGGCTCTCCCTTCTGGATAGTGGCCCGACCGAGCTCCCTGCGGAGGGCTTGACCCGGCCCTGTCCTGCCTCCGGTCCAGTGCCAGCCACACGCCGCTGTGCCCTCGTCCCACCCACCCGCTGGACACTCGAGGGCCCCGGAGAACCGGGTCCCAGAGCGGAGGGAGGCCACTGTCTTGGACTCTAAAAACCATTTAGTTTCTGCTTTACGGGATTTTTTTTTTTTTTTTTTAACATTTTTCCCCCTCATTGTTGAAGTTCTTTAATTCCACCACTCTACCCCATGCTTAAAATACCATCTTTCTTTTTCCCTCTAACTTTTTCATTTGGCACGCCCAAGGAAAATAGTTGACTTCCCAGAGTATGCGGGATGGGGGGCAGTTGCAGAGTGCATTTTATTCATTAATATCTGGGAAACAAAATCAGTTCTTTCACAGTGGCTCTGAAGTGAGAGAAATTGGAGAAATTCTCCCTGCTCAGGAAAAGGTAGAGGCAGACTGACTTAAAGGTCGGTTTCTTTTCATTATTTTGAACAAGCACCTTGACCCATAACTGCCCACCTCTCACACTGCTGGAGTTGTCTATGCCAATTGAGGTTGAGTTTTTCAAGTCATTTTGAAAGAGTGAACAGCTTGAGACCAGTTTCTAGTGAACCACCTCTCTGTATATTTGTATGTGAAACAATTGGTTAAATACAGGTACTGTATAACATAGTAATGTATTAATGTATACATTTCAGTTAACCAAAATTAAAATGTCTGTTACCCACTCCCAAAACAAAACTAGTCGTTTACTGTCCTCTTAGTGAATTATAATTGAGTTATCCTCTTAGTGAATTATAATCAGATTCTTTTTTGAGTTTCACTGTGTACTTAAATCCTATGTGGGCCCTGTTATTAAGTTAGAAAAAGACATGGGCTTACAGAAAATTAGAGAAGATCTTAACACAAATGCTAAATTGTGAGGTAGTTTATAAGTGCTGAGGCTTTCTGAAAAGGGGTGTCTTCATTTCCATTGTAAGCCCTATCTTGTGGATATGGTTTGATTAAGGAAGGAACCTCATCCTATGAATTCCAGATGAAGTTTTCAGTTGGAAAAATATTACATAACACACTGATGCCTTTTGATGTTAGATTTCTAACCATTTAAAAATATTTGTTTCATAGTTATTTCTGTAATAACAGATTGATAGAAATACTGAAAATGCAAGTATTTTTAAAAAACACATAAATACTGATTTATACATTGTTTCTGTTTTTCTTTTAAAATCAGATGGGTGACAGGAGTGTTACTGATCATAAGCGACATGTGGAGAAACTAATTAGAGATATTAATACAATTTCTCTGGAGTTGAAGAAGATAAAAGGTAAGTATTGAATCACTAAAATGTTTGCATATCATTGTTATAAAATAAATAGTAGAGCCAATTTGTGTTTCTGCTGGGGTATAAATGAATTTTACCCACTCATTAGGCTTTATCTATTTCTTAAGAAATGTTTGCAATGTAAGTGAACTAGATCTCTAAAGACAGATTATGTTTGACTTTGGAGTTAGCAGACCTGAATTCCCAACGCTGACACTAACAAGCTTATCACTTGGTCTAAGCTCTGAAAATTTGACTTCCCTTTCTTCCCTTCATCACATCATTACAACGCTATATCACATTCTGCAACATTCATTGTCTTTATGAACTCTTTAAGCCCCATAAGGTTCATTCCAAATTAAAAAGTATAAATTAGATTCTGTGACTTAAAGCTTCTTCATTTTCAGCAGATTCATTTGGTAGGATTAGACCTTATAAGTCATGATGTTTAGTCACTCACCTCACAGACATATGCTGTTATTTTATTCCAAGCACATAAAATCACAATTCTGTGACTGAATATTTCTAGGGATGATCTATTCCTGACCAAGCATTTCTTACCTTGGGAAACTTCCTGTCTCACTAGTCAGTCCATTCCATTTTAAACAATTCCTCCTTATGGGCTAGCTGAAATCTTCCCCTATTGCTTTCACCTAAGAGTCCTGTTTCTCACCGTGAAAACTACACTGAATATGAGTTTAAGGCCTACAACTATAAGTAACAAAAAGGCCAACTTAACTTTTACAATAAGGAGAAACAAGAAGATCCACAGTAGCTCAGCCCTAAAGTTAATGCAGAGGTTTAAAGATTTCGTCGGGGACCAGGTTCTCTCCATCTTTCTGCTCTGTCATGTTCACTCTCTTTTTCACTTCTCATGGTCATTACCTTCAGAGCTGGGGGTGTATAGACAGTCTCTTTTTATAAGTCTTTTCCCAGATCCCTCCAGCACATTTCCCTTTCATTCGCCAGATGTGCATCACATGCTGATGCTTACAGCAGCCACAGCCAAGGGGACTGGGACTGCCAAGACTGGTTTGGACCAGTCAGAACTTCCTACTGGAGCTGGGGAAAGGAGCACCTCAAATGAAATCAAGCGGTGACACCAAGAAGAAGAGGGCGTGGCCGTTAGTTTGGCACCAAATAGTGAGTGCCTATTATACTTTTTTCATGTGTTCTCCTAGGACAGCATTTCCTAGACTTTGATCCCGTGAACCCTGCTGTTTCAAAAGATGTTAGTAGATGGTGTACAGTAAAACAGAGTCCATGCTTTTATGGTCAAATAAGTTTGGGAAGTGCTTTATGCTATGTATTTCACAAATTTACAGTGCATATTAACAAAGGCTCTGAAGAGTATGATGCTAAAGAAATCTGACTACCATTAATTCATCATTTCTCAAACCAGTCTCAACACCACAGTGAAGATTCTCTTTCTAAAATGCAAATCTGCAGAAAACCCTCATTGGCTCACCATTATCCTCAGAATGGACTATATGACCTGTTGAGATCAGGCCCCTCCTCTCCTCTCTAGTCTCTTACTCTGTTATTCCTGCATGTTCTGTGCTCTAACCATGCTGAACGATTTGCATATCCACAAGTGCTCTTCTGTATCTGCTTCAACACATACCTGTCCTTCTGAAATCCCACTGTTATACCCCACCTCCACCACACCAGGTTAACTACTAGCAGTCAAGGTCACTTACATTGGAAAACTTTTTTTGAGCCGGCATGTTATCCCTTCTGCCCTTTCCTATCTACCTGTTATGCTGTTTTATAATTGCGTATTTCCTTATGTTTCTTATCCCTGCTCAACTGTAAGCTCCTTAGGGGCATTTCTAGCACTTAACACTGTGCCTTGATTGCTTCAGTTCTTGAAAAATGTTTATTAAATGAATAAATGGTTTTGGATGCTTGAACTCATTTAAAACAATTAAGAAGCTTTAGATTCCCCCACACTTGATTATATAATTTTTCTAGTTTGGAGATTATTCTTTCCTGAAATAAAATGTAATAACTCTGATAGATGTTTTCTTGAGGCATTGTATAGGTAGGTCAGGCAGTTAGGCTCTGAGAGACCTGTAGAGCTACACTCGGAAGATGGACTTCTGGTAAATATGGAGGATTAAATGAACACTCTGTGCACCGTCATTTCCTTCCCTAAGTAGTAATGTCATCAGCTAACCCTTATAGCGTTTACCATAATCCAGGGACTCGTCTAAGAGCGCTACATAAATGAACTCTCTTTATAATAATCCTATGAGGTAGGAACTATTGCCATTGGCATTTACAGATGTGTAAATAAGACAAAGAGATTTAATTTTCTCAAGGTTAAGCAACTAGTCAGTGGTAGACCTGAGATTTAAATTTAAGTGATTTTTAAAGAGACAAAAATCCACAAGAGATTCCAAGAAGAGATAACAAAACAAAAAACAAATGGCGAAGCAGAGACAAATCTGAACCCCAAGCTGGCTGAGTAAAGCCAAAAATAGCCCCTACGACTCAATTCTGGTGGCTCCAGAAACTTCTGGAAGTAGGGGTGAAATCTGGATAACAACAGGAGGACTAGTTAAATATTTAAGAATGGTAGATCCCTAAGGTCTCTTCTGCCCTCGGCATAGCTGGGCAGCTGTCCCTTCACTGTGACAAAAGACTTGAGGTTAAAAGTCTTAGGATTTCTGCCCTGGTGCCACTAGTCATAGGTTGAGGGAGGGTACTATACTGTAAAGAAGGATGTTGAAACAAAGTTTACATATCAAATTATGAGACCTCTGGGTTTTTTTTTTTTTTTTTTTCTTCATGGGCTACCAAAATACTGGCAACCAGACTTGTACTCTCCAAGTAGATTTTCCTTTCGGGAATCTGACCAGCCTAAGATAAAAGATCTAAAGATACTAATAGCAGAAATTATCATAAAATAACCCAGCCAGATCACCCCACATTATTGACTACCACAAGTGCAGAACTTCCAATTGTCTTTTTGGTGACACAGTCTTAAATATGAGCAAACAGCTAAGGCACAACAGATATTTGAGGAATGCATTTAATATAAAAAGCAGAGAAAAAACAGATTCAATGAGGAAGAAACAGAAATAATGAGGGGAGATGAAAACTTCAGGAAATTATCATTAATAGCTGTATCCATGAAAGATACTGTATCCATGAAAAAGAAATTAGTTACTATAAAAATATTCAGAGAACAAAAAGTAGCTCTTGGAAATGAAAAGTGTGACAGTAGAAATGAAAAACTCTGTAGAAGGGTTGAAAGGTAAAATGAAGAAATTCCCGTAGAGTATAAACAAAATAACAGAAATGGAAAACGTTGGTGATGGGTAGGAGAAGCAAGTATTAGATAAGTGAAAGAAGTCCAACATCCAACAAATGCGCGTGTTAGAGAGAACGTAGACAATGACAAAGGGCAATTCATTAAAGAAATAAAATTTTCCAGAGCTGAAGGGCATGAGTTTCTACAATGAAAGAGTCCATCACAGTGGATGAAAATAGACCCATACCAAGGCTAAAAGTTGTGAAATTTCAGTCTACTGAGAGGACCAAAAGATCTGTAAAGCTTCTGAAAAGAAAACATGAAAATTCTCATATGACTCCAGCTTCCCTGGAGCCTAGAAGGCAATGCAGCAGTGCCTCTGGAAATCTGAAGAAATATGATTTCCAACTTAGATTTCTGTAGCCAGTTAACCTTCTAATTAAGCATTAGTGCACAGAAAGAAATTTTCAGACATATGATTTTATTCCCTTTGGAAGTTATTGAGCCTATGTGCCACCAAACAAGGGAGCAGAACAAAAGAGAAACACAGGAATTTGGGGAAAAGAGCACTCCACAGCAGGGTGGGATCGAAGGAGTCTCTAGGATAATGGTAAAGGGAGTTCCCAAGATACTAGCTGTACAGCAAGGCTAATAAGCAATTAGTTCATAATGGAGCAAATCAGAAGACTCCAGGAGAGGAGAGACGTTTAACAATAGAATAGCTAAAGCGTTGAATAAACCAAGAGGAAATTTACTCAACTGGAGGACATTTGGGATAAATTTCCGATAATGAAGCAATGAAAAAGCCCAATTATTAACTCTGATGGGTTGTGTGCAGGAAGGAAAATGTCATCCAACAAGAGTTGGCTGTGAAGAATATTTGTATAATTAATATTTAAACATTAAATAATTGAGCCAAGCAAAAATTTTTCCCTAAGTATATTGTGAGAGAAGAAGGTGAGCGAAAGAGCTGTATCTTAATCTTCTGTGTCAGAGGCAAGTAACACTGAAAATTGAAAAAAAAAAAAATCAAATAAGCATGTCATTTAGAGATACGGAGGTAAACACCACTGCACCCCTTACACCAATAAAAATTCTCAAAACAAACACACTGAAACTACCAAAGCAACAAAAAAAAAAGTGAGCTAAAAAAAATAATAATAAAATAAATTAAAAGTGGTTGCCTCTGGGAGATTGGAACTGCAATTTTTTGTAACATGCCTTAAACTTATCTGATTCTTGGGAATATATGCATGTATAACTTAGATAAAAATAAGTTAAAACCATATAAGTCAAATTTGTATAAATCAAGTTACAGTTTAGTAATATTGCCGAGAAGTTGGGCTAAAGAGCCCCCTTTTAGTAAATTTTTATGCCATGCTTATTTTGTAATACATAAATCTTATTTTAAATTAGAATGGGGCACACTTAAGTTGTGGTTTGATCACTAATCACTTGAAAAACTAAATTAGGAATTAGGAAGAAATAGCTACTTTAAGCAATAATAGCTTTTTATGACATATGTGCTAAAATATAACTTCTGTTTTGTTTTATACAGAGCTCTCCCAGTTATTGCTTTGTGACCTTACCCTACATTTTAATCATCCCATGAAGACTGAGAACTTAACAGAAGCAGAAAGAAACAACCCCCTCTTTGAAGAGTCTAAACTATCAGATGTATCCCTTGTTTCTAACAGTTTTTCTATCTGATTTCTTATTTGTTTGTTGTGAGTTTATTTTTGAATTAACAAATATTTGGGAGAATTGAGTTTACTAATTTGTATATGTATAATTTAAAATAAAATTAAAATAATGTTGCAAACAAGCAGTTCATGTTCTTGAAGGCTGCTGTTTAATGCTTCTAAGAATGGCTTAACTTACCTCACTGATTGCAAGCGTATGACATAGGAAATTAGCCATGGGTCACGGCTTATCCTTTCGTTTATGCTTGAATTTGGCTCAGCTTGAAAGAGAGCTACTAAATTATTAACCGATGGTGAGTTTATATTAATCAGAACTCTCCTGTTAGTGAGTGCCAAGCACAATTCAACCAGCTGAAGCATTTATTGAGTCATGTGACTTGGAAGTCCATGGTTGGTAGATTTCACTGACCCCAATAATCTGTCTATCCTTTTATTGTGTTTTTGTGTGTCGGCCTCATTCTCTTCTATAGCAGACTGATTCTTACAGATAATTGGTAAATGGGAGTAGTTGCAGGGCAGCAGACAGCTCCAAGTGTATAGCATTGCCTTTTGGGGACCCCAGGTAAAAGATCTTGTCTCAGGCTTCATGTGTAACATTCCAGAGTGACCCTGACTGACCCAGCTTTAGTAAGATATTTATCACTGAGCAGGATTCTGAGCAACTCCCATTGATGCATCTGGGGTCACATACAAGAAAAGAGGCAAGGCCCAGCCAAAAGGAGTTGCCGGTGCTTGAAAGAGAATGCTAGTCATGAAAACATCAGCTTCCCAACATTGACTTCAGTCATGGCCATGGAATAGAACATTCTAATGGCTCATTCCACCAGGAGACTTAAAATGAGTGTTTGTTTTATAAACATGATTCACTACCAAATAGTTGCTTTGAAATCTATCAGGTCCTTCATTTTACATATTTTTAAACCCTAAGAATAGAATACGGTGAAGCAAGACAAGTGAACTTACTCCATGCTAGAACCTATGGTGTATACTATCCTGACTACCTTGCACCTAGCTCACTTGTTTAACACAGAAGAGCCACTAAGTAAATACTTGCTGAATAGCCTGTTGTATAGTCATGTAAATGAATGCAGTGTTTTCAGCCTTAGAACTCCCAAGTTTTGGACCTCAACTGAGAACTTCTGGTTAAGGATGAGATTTTGGGAAACACAATTGTTATCATTAAAGTCTCTCCATATACTCCTTTTCTTAGCCCATCATCAGTTTTAAACTGGTGACTTCTTAGATTCCTTCCAATATTCTTTTCATTGGTTCATGAAAATGAAGATGCAAGATATTCTTTTCCATTCCGAAAACTTGTAGATTAAGCAGAAATGCCAAAAATTGTTGCTAATAAAAGTTGTTTGATAATAACCAAGGTCCCAAAGGGAAAAATTTGAAAAACAACTGATTGTCACTGTTTGGCTGAATACTAGTTTTTTAATCTGGCTGAATGCCTATACTTTTTGTTAAGTGCAATTTGTAAACTAAAGGAAAGAGCCGAATTACTTCAAAGCACTTATACAGCCTGTTTGGTAAGATGAGGAGAAGGGGCTTTATGACAGAACTGTCAGGGGGATGACAAGAGACTCAAGAGCCGTATCAAATAGGAAAGTCTGAACAAATTGAAAGTGTTGCTCCCTTGTCTTCCCGGGAGTCCTTTGGTAAAATCTATATCCCTGGACAATGTTTTTGGGGTTGGGAGGAGGTGGGTGTGTGTGTGATGTTGGTGTGGGTGTGGGGATGGGAAGAAATGCCAACTTAACCCCAGATGTGTTAATTAAACCTAGATCCACAATCCACCAAAGTCTCATCCCTAAATTGAAGATATTTTCTTTTGCTATTTGTGGTTTAAATTTTTTAAAGACAAAAATATAACAGTATGGACTAAAAGTTAATAAAGTTGTTTTAGGAAACCAAAAAATCAAAGCAAAAGACTTTTAATCCCAGAAGTTCTCTCAACATGCATTTATCTTTTCATAAAAAATTACATAAAAATTCCCCCAGGAAAGAATACCAAATAAGTAAGAATAAAATTGTATTTTTGAAGGCTCTTAAATTATTGCTGCTGAGAATATGAGGTTTAGTCATTTTCAAATTGTGTGTTAAAACTTATGAATGCCTCTGACTGACAGAGGTTTGGCTGTAAAAACAAATCAGTTTTATGTGATGCCAATAACTATCACCGTTTCAGTGTTTTAAAACTTGCCCCAAATTGTTTCTGTAGCTGTGTAAACTACTGTATTTTGAAATGGATATTTAAAAAATGCACAACTTTTAAAAAGTGAATTATTACAGTGCAGTACTTCAAGTGTGAACATGACTCATGCACTTTACAAACATTGAAGAAGAATAAATAAATTATGGGAATTTGACAGTCTTCATTTCAAACACTGTTTTTAAAGGAAAGGATAATACCCTTGTGTTCATGGGAAAGGGTTAAACTCAGTCCTAAGTGTTTATCCGTTGACCAAAGCTGATTGATCTCATGTTGGCAACAGAGGCAGGAGGATGGTTCATTTGCTCAGCTATAACTTGCTATGGGTATCCTGCAGCATGCGTTAATGTGCACTGGTATCTGGAACCGCGGTTTTTCCCATCAATGAGCAGAAGTGGCATTTTCCTGAAGTAGTCAATAATATCTGACACAGACAGAAAGTCCTGAAAGAGTCAAGATTAGGGAGATGAGTCAGCATTGGAATGAAAAGCATGAACTTCACCCTCAGTTTTTTTATCTGCATAATATATCCTGCCTCTTCAAGTTATGAGGATTGTGGGAAAAGTACGTAAAATGTGGCAAGTAGTTTAATGATTTCTGCTATAGAACTTTGAAACAAATTCCTCACAAACATCCAACAAACCATGGATAAAAGATAAAATAAGGGCTGGGCATGGTGACTCATGCCTGTAATCCCAGCACTTTGGTAGGCCAAGGTGGACAGATCACCTGAGGTCAGGAGTTTGAGACCAGAATGACCAACATGGTGAAACCCTGTCTCTACTAAAAAATACACACACAAAAAAAATCAGTTTGGTGTGGTGGCGTGCACCTGTAATCCCAGCTGCTTGGGAGGCTGAGGCAGGAGAACTGCTTGAACCCAGGAGGTGGAGGTTGCAGTGAGCCAGGATGGCACCATTGTACTCCAGTCTGGGCGAGAAGAGGGAAACTCAATCTTGGAAAAAAAGATAAAATGTGTGTGTGTGTGTGTGTGTGTGTGTGTGTGTGTGTGTGTGTGTGTGTTATGTAATTTGAAATGCATATATTTTTAACTTCATATGGCGGGGTCATTTAAATAATCATGATTACAGTATCCTTGCCATGGAGTTGCTCTGTTTTTGATTTTGGTTTTGGTTTTGGTTTCTGTATCTCTATTTCACCCCCGGTCATTAATATTGTTAGGAGGTATAAGGACTCAGGAGGTCAGACACAGTTCACGGTGTCCAGAGGTAGGATCTGCAGCACAGCACAGGAGTTCCTTTGTGAACTCTCTCCTGTGTCCTCACTACCACCTCCACACTCATAAAGGCTCAGCAGCCAAGCCTTTCATCCATAGCCTGGATCACCCCAGCCTTGATTGCTACAGAGGGAAGGGCCTAATTCAACTTTCTGGACATGGGTCACAACTCACATAGGAACCCTAATGGGATAATGCACTTCCTTTGAGACTGATCTGCTAGGTGCCTCCCTCCATGGCAGCTGCAATGAGTCCTCTGTACTTGGGTGTTTCCACACTGGACCAAGATAAAGCTTGAAGGGCAAATACCTCTGCTTCTACAGGGTCTGTGCAGCTCTATCCACTGCCAACCAGTGATTCAAACATTTGACCATAAGCATGCATTATTTTCTACTCACTAACATTATCATAACAAAAGTATGTGAATCAGAAGTTATGGGTAAGCTGTTTCTCATGCTGGACATGTTTCATTCAGCTGGTCCTCCTCTTGGAACTTTGAACTTAGATACTTTGCATTACCTTCAGTTGTTAGTTTCCTTTGCAAAAAACTAGCCCTGAGGGTTTCTTTCTGTCTGTTCTGATTATCACTCAAAAAGTGACTAGCATGAGAATCTAAACCACAGCCTGAGAAGAATTTCTTTGGCAACCTGGTCATCTTCATGGGGCTAACCATGCATTTTGCTAAGAAATGAGCCAAGTTACTGGGATAATCACCACAGCAAGTATTCTGATTTTTCCCCCTTTCCAGTGCTGTCAACTTAAAATGCAGCCTACATTAAAATTATGTCACAGAGGTGAATAATAGCAGGCAATTGACTTTGACACCTCTAAATAGATTTTTTAAAGTTAATATACATTCTCCTGATTTTAAAAGTTATACATGTGATTATTTGGAATAAAAGACATACAGGAAAGAATCCTATGGCAGAAGTAACTATTGTAAACATTTTGCTCTATTTCTCTTCCAATAAATGAAGGACTTCACTAATGTGATTTAACTCTGAATTCGCCATACAGCCTGGAATCCCAAAGATTCCTCCATGAAAAGATGCAGAGAGGCATACATGAAGATTTTGGGGAAATGTTGAAATCTGAAATCCTTACCTCTTTCCCTCGGAGTCCAGTTCCCAACAAGTAAACTTGACTTTCCTGCTGATAACGGATCTGGATGTTGTAAACTTTATCTTTGTACAACACCATGAGGACATATGGATTGGTTATTGTTTTTTTAGAGCTGTCTCTAACCAGAAAAGTGCCATCCTGAAAGGATAAATTCCTGTTATTATGGGAGCAGGGAAAGTCAGTATTTTTGTTGCTTGTAAGAGTAGTAGGCAAGCCTCTAGGGATCTGACAAACCTGTCAGTTGCAGTTTGCAGCTTCTTGACTGCAAAACCTGTCATTCAACGAACATTCAGTTCTCCAAACAGCTACAGATTCCATGTGTCACGAGATTTTTTGTTATCAAGAAAGGCAACAGAGATTGTATCAGAGAAATTTCCAAGTCAATCTCGTTAAAGTCTCTTGATAAAAAAGGAATCTTTTGTTCAATAATAAATAATGGGTGCTTGAGTGAATAAAAGGCCAGGAGAAATAACAAACTTTATTGATTAACTCAAGATATATCTTCCTACTATTCCTGTGAGTTAATACCCTAACCTTTCTTTTCCACATCCAAAGTCAGAAAACACCCAAATGCCATGAAATTCACCATTTTTACAATCTTGTGGTCTCTAGGTAGTCTTTCCTTCATCAGACACCTGACCAAAATTGAACGCAAATGTTCCTCTTTTCTTATCTTTCTTCTGATATTTGCTAAACTACTGTTTTGACTGTTCTGTACTTTAAATTTCCATTTAATAAATTATTGCTACATAATATTAATACCACAAAAATCTAATATTAAAATTAATTAGTAAGGACTCCTTTAAACTACTCCCTTCTCCTCAAACCAAATCAGAATAGCTTTAAATAGCCATGAGTTGGCAGTAACAGCTTTCCTCTGTTCCTTTTATTCCAAGTTAATTGAGCCTGTCAGAACATTTCTGCTAAACAAACAGACTTCTGGACCAGTGATTCACAGTCTTGGCTTCAGAACAAAATTACCTGGGAAGTTTTGAAGACTCCCAGAGCTGACACAGAACTCCAGAATAATTAGAATCTCCAGGTGAGACCCAGGAATCAGGATTTTTCAAGAGCTCTCCAGGTGATTTAAATGTGCAACTACTACTGAGAACTGCTGTAGAGTTTAAATGTGAAAGATGAAGGGTCTTCGCTTTCCCATTTCTGATCAATAAATTTAAGATAAAGTTTCGGGACTGGCTAGGAGAAATATGTTTAACACCTTATGCTATTAAAAGATTAGCTAGAAATATCTAGGACAAAAAGCAAAAAGTTGCTGCTATCTCTTTAATACCAGTCCTGTCACATAAATGTGGATGGCACATCTGTGTTAAGAGGAAGCTAGAGCTGGTATGATGTTGAAGCTTTGGGGGAAAGAGAATCTCCTTCTGACCTCATATGATTCCCATGACAAGACAGACTCTTTTGTTAACAAAATCTCCTAAGATTCCGCCAACCAAATGACTGCCTTCACTTAGATTCTTCTGCCAGCTGAATGATTCCTGAGGCTAGGAATTCCTATTATGGTTGCCGGCAATTGTGAGGCTGGCACTAATGGGTCTCCTAGGTATTACAGTTAGCAACAGCACCTAGAAGAATTCCTAGCCGGTAACTGGTACTCAGGACAAGTCACTTCCCTTCTTCTGCCATGAATATTTATAACTATGTTAAAATAAACGATAACACAATACCTGGTTTATCTTTCTAAGAGCAGCTTCTGCCTCTGGTCGGGTAATATAAGAAACGTACCACTCTTCATTTAATGAATTCTGAAAATGTAAATTTTTAGAAACGGAATAAATTTTACAGTTACATATGTAAGTGAAAAGAAAAGCCTCTGGGTAATCATTTCCATAAATCACCACCTCAATTCCAGGAGGTTTGAAACATTTGTTTTCTTAATTTGCATAGAGTCATTTCGTTGAGGCTAAATAGAAGATGTTTTGTGTGAACTGCTTTTCATCATGACACTGGTTACAAAAGTACCTGTGAATAAGTGTTCCTTACAGTATGGAACCTCTAATCAGAAAAGATACAGATACAGTAATTTCTTCAGTTTAGCATAATAACCTGCTTCATTAAAAAAAAAAACAAAACTGGGTTAACGAGCAGTTAAGTGACTAATCAAGGTCATAAACTAGGAAACATAAAAAACAGGATTATTCTTCTCTCTGTTTATGCAAAACACACATTTGTCATTGCAAGAGTCTGAACAAACACCAAGGAAAAAGAACATATTGTTCATCTGGACCTTCTCCTTTAATTTTTTTCCGACTAAATAAAAAAGTAAAGAAGAAGATAAAAGTACAGAAGAACATTCAATGGGAGTTTCTGGTGATTCTTTTACCAGGGAAAAAGCAAACAAACAAAAATAAAAACGTATGCTCTCTTACCTCTTCTTCTGCAGGGGATGGGGGCGGAGGTTTATTGGGAAGTGGCAAGGGGAAGTTTCTGCCTTCAGCTCTGAGAGGTGGTCTGTTGCTAGGGCCTTGAAAAGTATAGAATTCTGAAAGTTAGTTTACTGTAACCTAACCTCAGTTTTACTGCTATCGAAACACATTTTCCCTCAAAAAATATCCTTGCGATTGTTCCAATAGTTAGCATTTTAAGAAGCCAGGGCTTCAAAAATAATTTTCATCTGTTTGGAACCATGAAGGCGTCTCAGGCATTATTCTGTAATCACGCCAGTAAAACTTTGAGAAGAGAACCTCAATTTTGAGTGATTTTCTAAATATGCATGTTACAAAATATAAAGTTACTAGACCCCTTTATAAAAAAATTGACAATTGTTTTAATAAATGTGAACATCAAAACGAATCTTCGAGAGACAAATCCTTCATAGACCCCTATAATATCAGCATAGGCAGAATGGATTCCCAACAGCTGAGGTAGAGACAAGGCAGTAATGAAGATAATTATGTTCTTCATGTTTCCTCCAAAAGAAATGTAAGGGACTCAAGAGAAGATAAAATTACCTTGAGAAGATTGTTAGCTTTTAGGATCAAAGTTTGCTCCCTGCTGTTCTAACTAAGTAGGTAGAACTGCTCAACTCACATAGAAGGCGCCGGGCGGGTGAGGTGACTCACGCCTGTAATCTCAGCGCTTTGGGGGGCCAAGGCGGAGAGATCAGCTGAGGTTGGGAATTGGGATCACCTGACCAACATGGTGAAATCCAAATTCAAAATTAGCTGGGCATGGTGGCAAATGCCTGTAATCCCAGCTACTCGGGAGACTGAGGCAGGAGAATCGCTTGTACCGGAAAGGCAGAGGTTGCAGTGAGCTGAGGTCGTGCCACTGCACTCCAGCCTGGGCAACAGAGTGAGACTCCGTCTCAAAAAAAAAAATCATTATAATAATAATGATAAAAAAAAATCACTACAGATCAGGACGTTTTTGTTGGGCACCTATAAACTACCCAGCGCTTGTGCCTCATCTTCTATCAAACCCTTTTTTCTCATTTACAGTTCCTTGAAACTTCACGAGAACGTTTCTCAATCTCAGGAAAGGTTTAGTTGTGTTTATTGCAGTTGCCCAGGCTGTTTTCTATGTGTCGGGCTATAGTTAAAAACAGAAAAATTCTGTGAGTTGAATGTTCTCTTAATGATTCATCCATCATTCATTCATACCTTCACCAAATATTTATTCAGCACAGCTCCGTCCAGATCTTGAGTAAGGTACTGTGTGTACAGTTTTTTTTTTTTTTTATTTTTTATTTTTTATCGTCACAGCAACACTACAAGGTAGGTATTGTCTGCATTTTGCATATGGGGAAATACAGGCTCAGAGGCTAAGCAAATCATATGCTATCAGTGGCAAACTCAAGACTTAAACCTGTTGTTACTGTGCACGAGTCAGAATGTGCACGAGTCACCAAATGTTACTGTGCACGAGTCAGAATCGCTGGGGGACTTTTGAGCACCTACGGCCCAGAAATCTGCAGGTTACAAGTACCTTCAGTGGTTCTACACCAGGGATTGTCACTCTGTCTACCTTGTTATACCACTTAGGAGAGGAGAGTCACCTGGAAGGGCTAGAGTCTCCTGAGCCACATACCAGGATTGTTTAAGATCGTCCTTCCTTGTTTCTAAACATGCTGGCCCTGAGCTGCCAGTGCCTTCCTTACCCAAAATCCCAACGCCTAGGCGGACCCTCCCCACCCTCATTTTTTTTTTTTGCAGTCCAACACTTGCACTTTTACAATGCTTGTTGAATGAATGAATGAAACCTAAAAATACAGGAGAGTAACAGAACCAAGGCCCATATTGCATGGTTGCTCTACAGTTGAGGAATGATTCTCTTTCTGCCTCTGCACCTGCAAGCCAGCATCATAGAGTCATAAATCACAAGAGAGCAGCACGTACACTTTTTTATTGTAGTCACCTACCATCCTCAATATCTAAACTCTCAGGGAAGTCGTGATAGAGTTTTTGACAATGCTCAACACAACCTTTACCCTTCTGATGTTGGAGCAACCAACCAGTGGAGAAGACTGAGGACCAGGCGTCCTGGCAGTCTTAGGGGAAAAGAGTTCAATTTGGATTAAGCTAGTGTTCCAAAAATCATGAAATATTTGCATTCATAAGCCCCATCCCATCATGGACTCATAAAGCAGGAGATCTGTGGAACTTGCTTTGAAAATCTTGCTGTGATGTATCTAGAACTCAGATGGCTACAGAGGCAAGGAGGTAACACAAATGTGTGTTTGCAAAATATAGTGAGTTTTGGGGATTGTGAAAAATTAGGAGTTGGGTGGGAAACTGTGAAAACCATGTGGTGAATGTGGACACTATAACCTCAAATGCTTAGAAGACGTTGAAAACTTAGTGGGTGCCCCTGGTGTCAGCCGTTGGATCTCACCCATCTAACGGAATGATGCATTCAACGGAATACCCTAGATGTGCTATTTGAAAAAATGTTCATTCTCAGGCTACAATGCATATGTATTAATATAGTTTTCTACTTAACACATACTGACATTTCTGTACACGGAACATGACTGCAAAAAAAGTGACTTTTTTGTTGATCTTTACAGCATTTTAAAAAAATTTAAGTCAACATTTAAAAATAGAATAATTTCACTTTTCTTGAGAAAAAAATTGGAAAATCTGGCAATGCTAAAGCAGTTTTCTGGAATGGTAAGATCTACTTACTAGAGTTGGGTAACTTTCCACAGTCATTTGATGCTCAGTCAGTCAACACGCTTTTTATTTATTTATTTATTTTGAGATGGAATCTCACTCTGTCACCCAGGCTAGAGTGTAGTGGCACAATCTTGGCTCACTGCAATCTCTACCTCCCGGATTGAGGTGATTCTCCTGCCTCAGCCTGCTGAGTAGCTGGGATTAAAAGCACGTGCCACCATGCCCAGCTAAGTTCTTTTGTGTGTTTTTTTGTGTAGGCTCGGGGTTTCACCATGTTGGTCAGGCTGGTCTTGAACTCCTGACCTCCTGATCTGACTGCCTCAGCCTCCCAAAGTGCTGGGATTACAGGCGTGAGCCACCATGTCCAGCCTTAACAAGCATTTTAAAGTGCCTACCAAATGCCTGTTACTTGCAAGTCTTTAAGGATAAAAAACACAAATCAGTCCTGCCCTGAGGCCTTTTAAAGTGGTCCATGAACCAGGATTAACAGCACCACATGGAACATGTTAGAAATTCAGAAACTAAGGTCTCACCCCAGACCTCCTGGATTAGAATCTGCATGTTAATACATTTGCCAGGTGATTTGTACGCTCGTTCAAGTTGCAGAACACTCTAAGCACACACTTATCATGGACACGGTATTATTAAAAATATGGGCCCCTGACTTAACTCCAGACTTACGGAATCAAAATCTTTGATTCTGTAAGAGATTCAGTTCTTAGTCTGTATTTTACAAATGCTTCCCAACTCACAACAATGGACAGATTGATTATAAAAATATACAACTGTAGAGAAAGCCAAGCACGTTTCTGAGGCCTGTAAGGAAACAGCAGCAGGAGGAATAGTTCTGCCTGGGAAGATTGGGGATGAGGGCTGGCTTCCTGGTGAAGTGTGTGTAGCTGTGTCCGTGTGTGTATGTGTGTATGCATATGCATGTGTGTGCATGTACTGTGCATGTGTATACGTGTGTGTACATGTAGATGTGTATGCATGCGTGTGTGTGCATGTGTGTGTGCGTGTGTGTGTGTGCCTGTGTGTGTGTGTGTGTGTGTGTGTGTGTGTGTTGTGTTTTAGGTACTATCCTATCATTCCGACAGCCCTTGGCACACTGCAGACACTGAATTAAATGTTGAATGAGGAAATCAGATGCTTTTAGGAAACAGCAAAACCCTTGTCAAAATCTTCTGGGACAGGTTAGGGATGCAGTCATAATGGCATGATGGCGGAAGCGGGTCACAAAAGCCCAGAGTACAAACCTTGAGGGAAGTATGGCGGCAGGGACGCACTCTGTGGAAAACTGCTGTTACTGAGGAAACAGAAAAAGATCGAGATTTTAGTTGGATTCGGGTGATGGGGCCGGAGAGGGAGCTGGGTTAGGGAAGCCAGACTGCAAATGCTTCTTGAGTTGGTATCACTTCCCCTGCTGCCCCAAAACCGTGGGGGCTGGTCACAGGGAGGGAACTTCCCTACATCCCGCTGTGGACCGTGCCAAAATCTAACCAGCTTTATAAAGCAGAACAGCAGCATTCAGCTGTGTAGAGGGCACTTAAAAGCTACTTTAAAAATTGGCTGCAACTTGAGCTCTTTGAGTTTGGAGAATATAAAAGTCCTCTGAGAAGAGGAAAGTATATTAATGGGCATGTCTTTTTGTGAGCAGTGAATCCCCAGGGCTTAGGGTTGGCAAGGAGACAGCAGGCCAGGTGAGAAGGGAGGAAGCGCTAGGTGAGCTCTGCAGCAGAAGGTGATAGCATTTGCAGGGCTTGGGTGGGGAGGTGGGCCCCGGCGGGGGTTGGGGGGCCCTGAAATGCTTTCTGTTCCCTTCACACTGAGCAGCAATTCCCACACCCACCAGTCCAAACCTTCGGGAAAAGTCTGCTCTGCACAGCAACCTTACACTAGTGGGATTGTGTGTGGATGAAGGATGGGGTTGGGGCTTAGCGAGGTGGAAAGCGGCAGGAAAGTCAGCAGGAAGAGTGACAAGAGAAGCCGAAACTCAGGGCCAGAGGGTGCCAGGGCAGAGAAAACGTGAGCATCCTGCCAGGAGTTGGTGAGGGTGGATGAGTCTTGTGAGTGGTTGAGTTTTCTACAGTATTAGGGAAGGGTCTTGGGCTTCTCTGCTTGAATATTAAGGGAGAAGGTGAGCCTACATGGCTGGAGGACTTGAGGAACACCACAGGCTGCCCGTGGACTTGCTTGGGGACAATGAGTGGCCTTTCTCCTGTTCATGCCTCTGCCCCTGGACGGCCTCATACCAGCCCTGAGAAACACAGCTGCTACTGAGAAAACAGATGTGCTAGGACAGAGACTGCAATGAATTCTCCCAAGCACAAGGCGCATTTTCTCAGTCTTCCCAACCAAGATGCAGATGAACTTCAAGTATTTAAACTAACCTGGGTTTCTCAAATTCGGTTGCTTGTTTGAACTCATAAAGTGAAAATATTCTTCATTTTCTACCGAAAGGCCCATTCCATCTAGAGGGATCAAGGAGGAAGTCAATTCCTCACCTCTCTCACCTCAAGCAGAGACTCAGTGAACAGTGGTGGATTACTACATTGTTCTAAACGCTCAGCTTGGTTTGATGTCTTAAGACCCAAAATGTTCAGACCCTACTCATTTCCTTCTTCCTCAATCCACCTGTCATGACTTCAGTACTGGATAGACCTAGACAGTATATTAAGCTAGAATTTCATGACAGAGCCACCAACCTTTCTGAGAACGCTCCAGACATGTGAGAGGATGGGAGAGAGTGCTTGGGGCTTGGCTTAGCAGATCTCGAAGGGTAAGTGTTGGAGCTCATAGGAAGTAGTGCTGGCTGGGGCAAAGGCCTCTGATGCGCTGTGCAGAAGTAGAAAACAATAAATGAAATTGTCAGGCCCCATTGTCACTAAGAAACATTCCATAACTGCCCCCCTCCCTGCCCAGTTGGAAACAGCTATCATAAAGAAGACACAAAAATCCAACACATCAGATGGAATTAGGAAGTGGTAAAGTGGTATCTTGTTCCCAGGGTGTTTCTACATGACTTCACCACCATAGAATCCACTTACAAAATGGTGCAGAACGAGATAATACCTTAAAATACGCATTTATTTTGTTTTTCATGTTTTGAAATGCTAACTTGGCAGAAAATTGTTGGCTGGAAACCTTATAAATTTCAGAAATTATTTACACGTCTTGTTTTATGAAAATCAAATTTTTATGCTATCTCATTTATTGGCAGTTACTGATTCTTTACCCACACGTGTTCGAAGACATAAATGTGGGAAATTTTTCTATCAAACCATGCACGCAATTTTATCATTTGTGATCTGATTAAGTAATCTGCATTGTTACACGTGAATTTAGTATTCTTTGGTAATCCAACCAAGTAATTCCATTTTATTATAGTTATGCAGCATGCCAATTGATATAAGTCTACTTAATACTAATTTAAGAGTTATAATTGATCCTATGGGGTTCCTGTACTAAACAATTCTATTTGAATCCCTGAGCAGGAAAATGAAAGAATAAGTTATAAGCTTAAAAATGTGTTTCTGAACATACCATCATCTTCGTCCTGGAAAGGGGAGGAAAAAAGAAGATATTAAGCTATCATCAAAATACAATTCTTAAAAGAAAAACTGCATTTCCCAATCAAATAAAGGTCAGTTTCTTTCTTTGGCAGTTACATATTCTCATAATCAATATACTGTGGAGAATAATAGAACTCCCTAGTGGTTTGTGATTTCTTAATGCAAACAGTCATCTAAGGGCATTCCAGTCTGAGACTCTCCTCATATACTTAGTGTGAACTAGATTCTGAGGTGTCTAAAAGGGCTCAAAGATATAATAATATTGACAATATCTGCAATATGCCCAACAGATTCATACACAAGATTTTATTCAGTTCCCTTAGTGACCCTTCAAGGATGCAACATCCTCATTTCACAAAATCATGACGCTGAGGAAGGATTCTTAGTTCGCCAGGAGTTGCAGAGACGGACTCAACCCCAGATACCTCTGATCAAAGCTCAGCCTTCTTCTTGGCTCTCTTGTACAATGGCCACTCTTCTAAAGAGCAGTAAGACCTTATTTATATGGCAGCTTACAAGGTTCATCTACAACCCTCACCATTTTTATCTTCAGAGCAACTTGTTAGGCAAGGGAAGGACTATTTTCTCTTCTACTCGGATAAAAAATGAGCTTCAAAGAGACAAAATGATTTTGCCACCAACTGGTAAGGGCCAACTTGAACTTGTTTAGTTGGGCCAGATCTGTAGTGATGAAATAGCATCTTTCTCAGGGTGTTGTTATAAGGATTAAATTAGATAATACTTGTGCCTGGCTTATGTTAGGTGCTCTTTAATAAAAGTTTGCCATCATTAATCCTACCACACACTGAGATAAGGCAAAAAAGACCACAGTCAAAATCATTCATCCCATTGACCAACTGGGAGTCCCAGCAAAGAGCTGCATAAATAAACACACATGGGCTCACAAACCCCCAGTGACAAAATCATTCTTCAACACTATTGCAACCATGTAACCTCTGGTTCCAGAAAATACAACTCCCAGATTCTCATGAGCACAAGTCAATCCTTCCAGAGACCGGGGACCTGGAATGTGATGTTATTCTGACTGTCCAGCCTTACCTCCACCTCGTCCCTGTCTCTGCAGCCAAGTTGCTCATCTCACTGTCCCAGTAGCCTCCATGGGCACTGGCATCCCCATGCTCAGAATACTCCTGAGGGGAATGCCCCCGAGCTTTCTTTAAGAATGACTTTATCCTGTGTCTTCCCTATCATTCAACGACCGGCATAAATCTCACCTCCTCTAGGAAGTCACCACTGGCTCCTTGGCCCACATGGGACACTTTACTTCCCTCAGCCCCACGGAGCATTCCACGATTGCATGCTGTCTGGCACGTGGGGTTGTGGGTGCACCTGCCTCCATAAAATCTCAGCACTTTATTGGAACAAGCACAGCATCTAGCACAGAGTTCAGAAATAGCAGGGGCTTGTGGGCTAAGCCCTTGAATGAGAGCAGGGGTCTGACAGCCGTCAGAGGGCTTCCGGTATAGAGAAACTCAGACAGATCTGGGTTCAGATCTTGGCTATTTATAAGCATGCAATTTGCAAAGAGTATGTTATTCCTCCTAAGCCTCAATTTCCTCTTCATAAAAAAGATGATTCCTTATAGGCTCATTATATTCATATTCAAGTGAGTAATATCCAGCTCTCCTGGTTTTCCTGCGATGGAGGGAGTTTTGGGACATGGGACTTTCCATTGCCAAAACTGGGAGCATCCTGCACAAACAGGAACAGTTGGTCATATTTAAGTAGCAGGGCGACGTGCACACGGTTAGCATTCAAGAAATGCTCTTTTTCCCTTTTTTCAGGTTGTGGAAGTATTGAAAAGGAAAACAGTAGCCTAGGAAATGTGGGCATGGCCCAAACTTCTGGGCATCCCTTACTTCATCCTCTTCCTCTCCCTGCACCCTCTGCTAATTACCAGCCCCTGGTAATAGGGCTGCAATTAACCCAGCCACCCTGGGAGCTCTCAGAGGGACACAAGCTAAACAACACAGCATGATGGGCTCCAGGCAGTGACCAAGGCCCAAAGACAGAGGCATCAGCCCCCCCAGAGTCCCCTGGGTGCAGGCCCTGCCCCAGGTGCTGGACCAAGGCCAAGGTGGATGGAGTCCCAACCTCCACAGAGCCTATGCTGCTTCTCCCTGTATCAGGCACTTACAAAATGACATTTTATACTTACATTCTCTCTTCGGTCTGGTCCCCATCCATGCCTGAAATGAATCAGGGCAAAGAAAAAGAACTGAGCATAACGAGTTTCAAAGAGCCAGCCTCAGATGCAGTTTGCTTCATTGAATAATGAGAAATCGAACCCACTGAGCCTGGGGAAGATGGGAAGCAGCAAACCCCCGCACAGCAGGGAGAAGGGCTGGAAGGGAGATTGAGTTACTCAGTGTTCTGTCATCATTGCACGCTGAGCTAGGCAAACCTTTATTCTGTGTAGCTAATGCAGCAAATAATTATATATACATGGTTTAGTTGGCAAACTAACTCTTCAGTAGTTATTGCATTTTACTGAGCTCTTGTTTCTCCCAAGAAATGAAAACATTTTAGGTAATATTCTCCCTTGCTGTTGTTTTAAAACAGCCCTCTCAGAGCCCACCTTGGTGTAAAGAGAAGACAATTAGAAAACATTGCTGCTTTGGGACTGTTCCAAAGGGGGCTTGGTAGGCTTTGACCAGATGAATGAGCTTGTCAAACAGGTCTGGGGACAGCTGCCTTAGGGCTGCATGCCTGGGCGGGATCATGTTCTCTTTGGGGAGGGGGGAAGAGCAGGACAATTTGTTGAGCACCTCCTCTGTGTCTGAAGTTTCACACATCATCATCTCATCCTGTGTTCATTTAAAATGTTGGAATTTTGTTCCTTATGAGTTTGTTGCACTAATTTTGGCTTTTTAAAATATACTAAAATGTTATCAAACTCCATTACTGAGGTTTTTTGGCACACTTTAGTTTCTGGCCCTAATTTAATCCTCAAAACAGCCAAGCAAGGGTGATAGTTATGACCCCTGATTCACAAATGAGACAGAAGCCTTGGTATCCTTTGTAAGTAGCAGGGTTGGCCTTGACCCCAGGTACATGCACACCATTTGGTAAATAGGCTGAAAACTACTTTATAGCAAAGTTAAAAATACTAAGGCAGAGCTCAGTATTCTGCAATTATAAAATGTGGTTAAGCAGTAAGAAAGACGCTTGCTATGACCTAAAAACCTTCCCCGATCATTTCCTCTCTGCTACCTGCATTCAAAAATAAAATGGTAAGTACAGTTTCTATGAACTGTAAAGGCTTTGCTATAATGAGGTAGGAAAACTCAATACAATATTTGACTGGCATCTCCACAAACAGCAGTCATCCCATACCCTTGATTAGATGTCGCCCTACTCATTTCTCAGTAGAGTCAATTTCCTTCAAAGAGACCCTGATCCTTGACAGCCAACCTTGAAGCCTGAACATCCCTCAAGCCACAGTAAGAAAAGGCCCGCCCTGCCCAGGAACTCTGAGGAGCTCGGTTCCCACTGCAGGGTCCGCACTGGACAGGCTGTCTGGTGGCCACTCTGAATGACAAGCTCAAGCAATAGCAGACAGTTACTTTGGCACAGGCGGCTTCTTCCCTGGCAAGGGGCTGCTTCTTTCATGTCTTTCTGTGGTTGGTGGTAAAGGAGGCTTTTGTATCTTGGGTAAATTCTCCCCGAGAAGCCTGTGGAGTTCAGGAAAAGGATGTGTGAGAAACACACTTTGCCGAGGCAGAGTCCTGCAGAGTGTCCCGGGTACCCTCATGTGGGCGCAAGTCTCACCTTCCCGCCGGAATCGAGGGCTGCAAGACAGGAGGGAAGATAGATGAGTGTGCAAGCACTTTTCAAAGATTGAGGACAAGATGCGAAATGAACGAACAAAACCGAACAACAAGGGAGCAGCTTACCTTGTCAGCAAATGGTGGTTTCTTTCCTGTGAATGACAGAGAGCAGACAGACCGTGAATTCAGAACTTCATAGGCATGAAGTTTAAAAACACAGTTTGATGGAACCATGAGTCTGAACCCTTTTGGCGGTTGATGGAGGTTAGGCATTAAAGCATTAAAAGCTTCAGACGAGGAAGGGTCTCTTACAAAGCACCAAATTTTATAAGCTCAGAGAAATTAAATGGCTTGTCCACAGCTTTGTGTACATACAGGTAGTACTGTGGATTCTATGCTATTTTTTTTTAATTAAAAAAAGGCCTAAAAAGAAAAATCAACGTTTTATTTTATATAACTGATGATCAAAGGATTAATATTTTCTTGGGATTTTATACCTCTTTAATTGGCCAAAATATTTCTTCTGCAGTCGAAGTTTTATTTTTATATCTGAAACAAGCCCACTTGCCACAGAGGTTAATTTTTCTCCAATTCTGTGAAACAGTTGATATTAAATGAAGCACTCCATTTAGTTTCTGAAAAAACTTTTAACTTGGGGAGAGCATTTCAGGAGATTCTCCTGGCTTCTGAAGAAATGCCAGGTGTACTTGATAGTTCTGCATCAAGAAGCTATTCAAAGCAATTTAATTTGTATTCTATCTAAAGTCCCCTAGAATAAACATGTCCTTTGTTTTCAATGTGATAAAAGTATTACTAACAATTCAACCGGGTCTAGAAGCAAATCCTATATAACCATGAACAAGTTATTGAAGATTTTTGAGTCCCAATGTTATCATCTCTCTAAAATGAAGATTATAGATGAAAACCCTATAGGTGTGCCTCAAGAATCAGGCAACAATTTGTATGCAGGATCAGCATGTGATTGTGAAAGTTGATCATACAAATTGGGATTTTTATCACATCCAAGGAAAACAAAGTCGAGAAGCCAAAGGGGAAAGCACTCAGGACACACAACATTGCTCCAGAAAAGTGATTCTATGTGTGTTTGGCTGCTGAAACTGCTTGCTGTAACCTAAAACCAGTTTTATCTTGTAGTTCTATAGTAATCTGCTGCAACTCGAAGATTAAGTTTGCCCTCTACCACCACTCACCAATCGAAACTTGCCAGCCCTCCAGAACCAATGAACTTTCTCAAAGAGTGATATGTAACATTTCTCTTTTCTATAAAACTTCCAACCTCCTTTTTGTTCTTTAGATATACCGAGGACCCTGAAGACCAATTACCCCAAATTGCAATTCTTTCTTCCTAAATAAAAGAAGCTTAGAGATATGCCTCTACATTTATATTTTGCCATTGATATGGTCCATGTGGGCTGACAATTATTAGTTAACTTGCCCTTCTTTCCCTTTCTTCCACACCCAGGCACAGTTAACGCCCTATGGTGAATAGTGATATTATCTGCCTGGAGTTGTATTTTCACAACATGATTTATTCTTTAAGGACCAAGTACATCAGGCCCATGAGAATAATATTGTTTCACTGTGAAGAGCTTTCTGGCACCAAGTGCAGTGACTCATGCTCGTAAGGAGGCCAAGCCAGGAGAATCACTTGAGGCCATGAGTTCAAGGTCAGCCTGGTGAACACAGGGTAACCCCTGTCTCTACAGACTATTTAAAAATTAGCCAGGCATGGTGGCATGCACCTGTAATCCCAGCCATTCAGGAGGCTGGAGAAGGAGGATGGCCTGACCTCAGGAGTTTGAGGCTGTAATGAGCTTTGACGGTGCCACTGAACTCCAGCCTGGGTCACAGAGTAAGACCCTGACTCAAAAAGAAAAGAGAAAAAAGAAAAGGAGCTTGCTGGTAGTGGGGAGAGTTTTGATGGTATAAAAGATGTTTGTAGAACTTTGGTTTGGGGTAGAACCTCTACTTTAGAGGGGCACCCAGGAAACTTAGATTTATATTCTTTGACTTGAATACGTATTTTAAAGTTTGCCAATATTTGCATATTCTCTGAGCATGTTAAAAGTCTCATGTGAAGTGTAAACATTTTAAGAAGACATTAATCCTTCCAAAACATCACAGAAAAGGGAATAATTCAAGATTCAAGGATAAAACAGAAATTTTCGGAAAACTGTGTCTTTTAAAAATGTTTTTAAATATAGAAAAAAGAATCTTTTAAAAGAATAACTTTTGTGTCAGGAGGTGATTGTGAAGGATTTGATGTCAGTGTTCCACTTTTCTGATGTCTTGGCTCATGGGAGTGAGCAGGGTTGGAATCTGAAGTCAAATCTATCTTCATTTCCACATAATTATACATCTCTCTACAGCAGACAATTCTGAACCAAAACAGCCCGCACAGTTTCGCATGACTCAGCAGAGCTGTGATGCAGTTCGGGGAAACAGCAGCAAGCAGCAGCCTCAAATCCAAGAACTGAAAGTCATTTTGCTGACAGACAAAAAGGGATTGAGGCCACAGAAGGCTAAATGCCTTGCTCGGAGCATAGCCAAGAAAGGGATGGGGTGCAGCTGGGATGCGCTCCTTATCCGTTCAGTTGCTGAGTTCCTTCCTCAGATTCATCTAATTCACAGCAAGTTAAAACCCAGGCTCCTCAACTGCAGCATGATATGGTGGAAAAGAGCACCCACTTAGAAGTCAGAAAGACGAGCATTCAAAGTCCGCACCTACTTACTCAAATTTAGGCAAACTATTCAACTTCCCTGAGCCTAATTTTATTATCTGAGAAGTGAGGATAAAAATGCCCCTCCTTTGTGGAGTTGGTGTGAGAATTAGAGATACTGTAGTTATATTTGTGGTAGGTAGAGCACTTGCCCAATAGTAGTGGCTCAATAAATGGTAGAAAGTTTTAGAATTGAATTGAAAATAGCTCCACGTGAACTGAAGATAATTGCAATCCAAGAATATTCTGTGTGAACTCTGGAGGAAAAGGACTGTGGTATACCTAATGTTTGGTCAATTGCATACCCGAAACAAAACAACCCCGACATTTGAATAGCACCTTAGGGATTTATAAAGTATTTTCTATGTACAGAACACCCATCTTACAAATTAGGAGATTGAGCCCTGAAAAAGTAACATCCCTGTGGTCCATGAGCTACTGAGTAGCACGCAAGGCAGCAAACACCAGCTCCCCTAGCCCCTTGTCATAATTCATGTCCTCTCTCTGTACCCCAAAGCTTCTTGGCTGAAGGACAATGGGATTTGTGTGCACAGATCACACACATCACACAGAGAAGCAGCACAGCCCCCAGGAGCTGCAAGCAGGAGCTTTCTAATGATGCTGATCTGGGTTTAGGTCTCTACTCCCATCACTTGGTAGGTGTATGATCTTGGGACGTTACCGCTTTGTGTCTCAGTTTCCTCATCTGTAAAGTGAGGATGATTCGAAGAGTCTCTCTCCACTTCCTAGTATTGTGGCCATAGTGAAATGAGATTGTGCATGAGACATGCATGCAGAAAGCACTTTATAAAAGCTTATCTTTATTACTATGCATTAAATGTGAATCATACCTACCTAGTGTGAAGGGTTCTCTGTCAAACGGAGCTAAAGAACGATCCAGGGGAGGTTTCGTGCTTCTGTCTATTGAAGGAGCAGGGACTGGAAGGGGAAAAAGGCTGATATCAGTGAAAAGAAGAAAGCCAAGTACAATTAAAAAAAAAAAGAAAGAAAGAAAAGAAAAGAAAAGAAGAAAGCAGTTGGCTGGGGGTGGGGTGGGGCTAGGGGAGGGCCTGGTGGGAACAGGTCAAGAGAGAGCAGCCCTCGGACTTACGCTTTGCTGTTTTGTGGTTTCTGCTTCTGGGCTCTTCATGGTTGGTCTGGGGTGGGGGCAGCGGCTGCATAAAGATCCAAACGTTAAGAAGCATTTCCAATTCATCAGCAAGACCCGGCCCTCTCAAAACCGATCCGGATCTGCTCACTTTTCCTCATCTTCCTGTTCTGCCTACAGATCTCCATGTCCACTTCTTACCTGAGCTACTGCAGTGGCCTCCTATCTGAGCCCCCCGTTCTACACTCTGCCATGGAGGCTCTTTTCTGCATGGCAGTGGAGTGAGCATGTCACTTTACTGCTAAGACTTCCAGTGGCTCCTACAACATTAGGAACAAAATCAAAACTCACTAATGTCCTGCATGGCCCTGCCTGAGCTGGCCCACGTCTCCCCTCTCAACTCTTTCCTATCAGCCCCTCTCAATACTCATAGGGTCCCCACCGTAGTGTCATCCTGCAGTTCATGGAAAATCTTAAAGTCATGCCCTCTTTGGCGTCTCTATACTTGTTTACCTCTGCCTAGAATGTTCTTCTCCCAGCTTTTGCCACGACCTGCTCATTCTGTCCCAGCTCTTTTTGTCACCTCTCCACCCACCATCATGTTACCTGGTCTTTGGTCTCCCCAACCACAGGTAACTACTCAAATGATCTCTTTCAGATATCTGTCTACCATTTGATGACCTGTCTCCCCCTAACCCTAGCTGAGCTTTAGGAAAGCAGGGACCTTTTTATCTTGTTCACATTTTATTCTCAGTGTCTAGAACTCTGCTTGGCACACAGTAGCTGCTCAGTCAGTATCTGCCGACTGAATGAGTGAATCCTGCATCTCAGTAGTGGAGATGAAGGTCTTCAAATTTCAAAAGCAATGTGCACTTGTAGATAGACTTGTAAAGAGAACACATTCATAGCTATCAATTCCTTAGTCTGAGCTTCCCATGGTCACTCTGGGAACTTATCAGATTCACAAGAGCTGGGCTATATGCTTGAAGAAAGAGAAAACGGGATTTGCCACCTCTGTCTCCTCGGGTCCGAAGGCACCTGTCCCTGGAATTGCAGGTGTCGGCCAGAAGGTGGCGCAGGTCTTTTCGCAGGAGAGAGGAAGGCGCGGTACCCATGCAGCACCAGCAGGTGCCAAGGACTTCATTCGGTTCTCTTAGGGTTTATTTTACAGTTTTCACTTCTCTCAAATAGTGGGAAGTAAATAAAACCAACCAGTATTTGACCCCCCAAAAGAAACACTTGTGAGTGCCTGGGTATGCATTTTCCCAGCCGAGGGAAAAGATTGCAATCTTTTCTTACAGGATTAGAATGAGGTGAAGATGTTTATAGTTCCATTTTTCTCTCTGGCGGAGGAAAGAACTACAGTGGACACCAAGTACTATAAAAGAACGGGAGGAGGCCTACCGAGTGATTCCGGCCTGCTGGCGGGGGCGGGAGGGCGGCCATTGGTCTCTGGGGGGGCACAGGAGGCTGCTGGGGGGCTTTCCCAGAGAGGGGACGGTCTGTGGAAACACAAGATTATTAAAGTGAAAGGCGAGTGTTGGTCAAGCTCAGGAGTCTACAGGAACAGATATAGCTCAGGGAACCAGGGGGTGCATGATCCTCAAACCCCAGGACCATCAGTGCCAGCAGGAACCCCCAGCCATGGCAAGACCCAGCCTGGATCTTACCCACCCCGGATCTCACCCACCCCTCCTGGCCCGTTTTTCTGTCCCAGTTTGTGTTACTCTTCTTCTACACAGGCTCAGCTTCCTTTGCACTTCACAGAAACAGGTATTAATCAGAGATTTTACCCATCAAGAAAGGCCTCTTTGTAAATAGCTCAGCCAGAACTGGAAGGGAGCATTTTCAGACAGTTTTGTAAAGAAGTAAACATACACATATACCTCTGTATGCAGACACACAAATATACACATGTGCACACATGCACGCACACACACACGTGCATATGTGTGCACACACCTGCACACACAGAGACACATGTGCACGCAGACACACACACACGCAAAAAATCTCACAGGCATACCCAGCTCCCTATGTAGGGTGAAGTCAGCTCTCTCTGTCCATACAGATCCTGTTCTGGCTGCCCTTCCTTGCCCTCTCCAGTGCCCTGGGCTGTCTCCTCCCTGACATTTCCTCCTTTTGCTCATTTCTTTCCATAAAGGGAGGAGCTGGTCACCAACTGTTCTTACCAGACCACAGACTCTTAAGTGGTAGCTAGATTTGCCTTGAACAGAAACACACATTATCTGGACAGAAACTCATATTATCCAGATCGCCAAGGAAGTGTCCCTAGGCCAGATTGACAGGCTGGCAATTTCCTACCCCTTTGACAGGGAAAGGCCAGGACAAGACCGTCAGGCAAGAGGGGTGAGTGGGTAGGGCCTCCTTATACTTTGTGCCCCGGTGCCTCTCTTGCCTCATGCTAGTCCCCGGCTTGGAGAGGGGTGGCTCTTCCACAGGGAAGAGGGTAGGACAAGGCCCAGCCTGAGCTAATCTCACCCTACTCCATCCTCAATGACTATCAGTTTCTCTAATAGGCCATGCTCCTTTGAGCCTCAGGCCCTTTGCACGGCCATTTCTACTGCTTCAAATTTCTTCCCTTACCACATCCATTTCCACTTGACCAATTTGCATTCATCCTTTAATCTCAGTTTAATATCACAAGTTAAAGATCACACCCTCAGGCAGACGGCCCAGCCTCGTCTCCTGCACTTGTCTTCCTGCCTCCGTGTCCTGGTTTCACTAAGGAATCTCGTGGCTCATTTGTTAGAGGCTGCCTCACCTACTGGACTGTCAGTCCCTTGGCGAAGGCTGTCTTGCTCGTTCTGTATCTTAATGACTGGCACACACAAGGCACTCAATAACTGGCTTATTCACTGCTTCTCCGGACCTCCACTCCTCTATATATGAAACAGACTTGATCATGGTTGTCCTTATTACACAGGTGTTTAAAAACCACCATGAAACATTGAGACAGTGTTTTGTGAAAGGGCTTTAAAATGGAAATAGGTTATACTGCATAAAAGATTAAATGGTAATCATTTTCTGTGGTACTGATCTTCAATTTTCAGCTTACTCCCTGAAAGTATATGATACAAGTATATATTTGTTTATTTTCTGTCAAGGTCAATACTAGAATGTAAACCCCAGGAGGCAGGGGCTGTGTCGTCTTTCCTGATCATTTCTCAGCACTTAGAATGGGGCCTGGGCTTCTAGCAGATCAACAGTGTTTGTTGAATGAGTGAATGGAGAAGTCAGTAGGCTAAAAGGACAGAGAGACAATAGAAATCATTTTTTTTAAAGTTAGAGTCAAACCCTATTCAATATCTTCACGTTTATTCTAACATATTAATACTGTGTAACTATGATTTGATCAAAAGATGGGGAAGAACAGGAAAGTACTCTTGGAGTACCTGAGTAAACCCCAGAATGAGTTGAAACTGCCAAATAGCCTTAGGTGGGGTAGTTCAATGCTGATGATACCAGCCACCACGGCAGGAGTTGGTTGCAGTGTTAGTAGTCCTCACAGCAAGCCTATGTGATCTGTATGTTATTATTCTATTTCACAGATGGGGATACTGAGGCCCAGAGAGGTAAAGTTACTTGTACAGAGCCACATATCTGTTAAGAAGCCTAGCAGGTATCAGCACCCAGAGCTTTCTGCTACGTGGGTAAGCTGGGCCATCGGCCTTCTGTGCAGCAGTGGGGAGCTTGGCTTTGGGCTGCTGGGGCCAGAGAATCTGGAAGCGGGCCCTTACCGATGTACATGGAGTTGGAGTTGGGGAAAGGCTTGGCAGGCAGGATGGAGTTCTGCAGAGCTTCCTCATCGTTGGAGGGTGGCGGCTCATAATCGGCATCATCTTCTACGGGTGCCTCTTCCTCCTCATTGGGGGACTCATAGTCACCGTCATCCTCTCCATCCTGGTCATCATTGGGACTTTCATAGTCATCTTCTTCCTGCCAACACAGTGACAGGGACCGTGCCGTTTGTAGAGGCTCTGTGGCCCCGCGGACGTGCCTGTGCCGACTCTCTCCCCGCCAAGCCTCACAACAGCATAACCCGGGGCCAGGCAGCCTGAAGATGGTTACTTCCATCTTACAGATGAGGAAACTGAGGTCAGGAAGCACCGTATCACAGGGGCAGCAAGTCATGGACTTGAGACCTTGGTGAAGGTCTTCGGACCACCTTTTTACACAACATCTTTTTGCACAACAGAGAAAAAGAGAAGAAATGAGAAGGACGTTGGAACAGAGGATACAGGAATAGGCTCTGTCTTGAGTAAACACATTTTTTACTCCCAGCATCACCAAGAGAAAGACTAAGGGCCTGGAGCATTTGTGATGATACTAATTAATTACCATTTCTTAGTGTGCCTGTGCTCAAAAAAGTCCTCTCATTATAACCTCGTGCAGTGTTGAAGGCCTAGCTAACGGGGAAAACAGATTAACAAAGACCGTTAAGTGGAAGGCAGATTAGGTTGTGTCTAGGAGGGGATGGTCAGAGGCTGTGCTATTCTTTTTGCTGAGAGTTGAGTGTATCAACACATCCATTATTCACGAAATCTGACACTGAGTTTGAAGGTGCTCTCTTGGAAAAGACTCTCTAAATTTTAAATTTTTAACTATATTTTATTTTTGCTTCTTCCTGAGTCTCAGGGAAAGTAAACTCTAAGTGCTGGGTGCTTGCCTTTGAGGCAGTCCGTGAAAGTGCAGGAGCATCGGAATGACTTCCCAGCAGAGCAGTGATGAGCACTCACCGTGGTCAGGCCAATATTCCAGGCATGAGACAGTGAGCCCAGAGCTCAAACCTCAAGGGCAGTGTGGGAAAAAGCAATGGGAAGTGGCTGCTTTTTGAGGAAAAGGATGTTCCAATGTCCCAGAAATCCTGACTGCTTTGGGTGGCCTCAGACAGACTGTCTTTAAGCTGCTCAGTTGAAAGATGCCTGTGTTTGTTTTTGACTTCAGGAATATCAAAAACATCAACGACAGAGGAGCGTAGTGAGCACTGGGTGGCTTCCCAACTGCAAAAAAGACTTTGTCCTGGCCTGTCAGTGTTCTTTTTTGTTTTGAGACGGAGTCTCGCACTGTTGCCCAGTCTGTAGTGCAGTGGCGTGATCTCGGCTTACTGCAATCTCTGCCTCCTGGGTTCAAGCAATTCTCCTGCCTTAGCCTCCCGAGTAGCTGAGACTAGAGGTGTGCACCGTCACGCCCAGCTAATTTTTTTGTATTTTTAGTAGAGACGGGGTTTCACCATGTTGGCCAGGATGGTCTCCGTCTCCTGACCTCGTGATCTACCCACCTTGGCCTCCCAAAGTGCTAGGATTACAGGCATGAGCCACGGTGCGCGGCCCCAGTCAGTGTTCTTATAACTTAGGAGCAGGTGGGCAGAGACCTGGAGAAATGCCGCTTCAGATCAAGAGCCTCAGCATGGAGGTCCGCAGGCACGTGGCCTCCCTCCAGCCCCTTCTGACCCTTCCCTCGCCCTGTCCATCCCAGGCCAGTCATTTCCGACTTTACACCAGCCCTTTACCCCATCAACCTTTCTCAAATGACAGACTTTTCCTCTCTGCTTCCAGAACAATTATTTTCTCCCAATCACTTGGTTCCTAAATTTGTATGCATGGTGTTGTTGCTAATTATACTCTGCCATATGTGTGTTAAAGTAAATGAAAATGGAGACCAGGCCTGAAGAATCCCTGAGCAGGCAAAACCAGTTGGGTCTCCTCAGTGACCTAAACCTTACTTGATTTGCAAGCATAAGCAAAAGTTAACTTGGGCTATTTCTCATAAATGGCTATATTAAAGAAAAACAGAACTTAAGCTCAACCAATCAGAAGTAGCCAACAAACTTATAATTATATAACTAGGAGCTTTCCAGCAAGATAGACTAAATGAGATTGGTTATAACTGCAACCCATCAAATGTTTTTTGGAATGTGGATTAAGTGTTACATCCACATTCACTTTATAAACGCTTAGCCCTCATGTTTCTTCAGCGAAGGCGCCTTCTGGTTCTGTGCTGCCTCATTCATGAATGTTTGTTTGCTCAAATAAATGCCTTAAAAAAAAAATTGCATTGTGCCTCAGTTTACCTTTTTTAAATGGGGTGTCCATACTGTAAAATGCTCATGACTGGTTTCTTTATCTTCACCCATTTCCCTGTTTGCCCTTGCAAAGAGCTGGGCACATAATGTAGCGCCAAGTTCTATAGCCACTAGTGAATGGAAGTCCTCAGTTCACAGAGCGGCTGGGAGACTAGCCTGAGGCACATGGCAAGGATTTGGCCTCTGTGAGTAAGCAGAAGCATTTCAGGGGAAACTCTGGGCTATTTTCCCTTTGTACCAAAGAAATTTGCCAAATTTCTTCATTTTCAGGTAGAAAGAATAAACTTAGCTAAACTTTTTTTTTTTTTTTTTTTCAAATTAAATGCTTTTCTTTTATCAGAATCCCAATAGGACAAGGGCCATTTTTTTTTTTTTTTTTAGAGATGGGATTTCACCATGTCCGCCAGGATGGTCTTCTTGATCTCCTGACCTCATGATTCGCCCGCCTCGGCCTTCCAAAGTGCTGGGATTACAGGCATGAGCCACCTAGCCTGGCCTTTTCTTTTTGTTTTCTAAAGGCACTAGAGGCGGCCTTTTACCCGAAGTACCACGTGACTGAGGGTCTGGTTTCCTGGGTCCTAGGTCTGCCTCTAACTAGCTTTGTGGTCTACACAAGTCACATTCTGCTCTCCTGCGGGCTCAGTTGCCTCATCTGTAAAATGAATAGATCGGGCTAAAGTTCATAATAGAGTTCTCTGCCTGAGATTGCTTGGTTGCAGAGGGTGTGGGGGCTGTGTATATAGATTTCTGGGGAGGGGTTGTACAATCCACTGGACTCTCAGAAGGGGCACTGTGACCTTTCAATGTAAAATCCAGCTGGATCGCACCCTCCTTGAGGTCTTTTCAGGGCTAACAGTCGGTTTTGAAGTCATTTTCCCTCCATGCCACCAATGGGGACTTAAGTCCATGAGAAAAGCTGCTTGAGAATAGATTTCTAGGAGTGGCCACTTTTGGAGATGGGGGTTGTGGGTGTGGGGTGGTAACGGTGGGTAGGGCCACATGCCGCCCACCCTCTGTGTTTGGAAATGAAGGTTTGTGGGCACAAAGCCAAGCCCATTTGTTTGCTCATTGTCTGTGGCTGCTTTTGTGCTCCAGTGGCAGGGCTGAGCAGCGGAGACAGAGGCTGCATGGCTCCCAAAATCGAAGCCATTTCCTGTCTGGCCCTATGCAGAACACCTTTTCTGAGCCCCAGGTGGGTGTGCTGGCATCATGTTAGAGCCAGTTCCACTTGGCTCCATGCTGGGTTCTTATCACAAAGCCACCATGGACACTGCTGTAAAGGTGCGAGAACAGCCCACACCATACTCACAAAGGACGACCAGCCCCCATTGTCTTCTTCGTGGCTTTCTGTGGAAGGAAATGACACCACCATCAGCACTGAAGAAAGCCGCCCCTTGAAGGAAAGTCAAAGCCGCTTCCCCATCTGCTGCCTTCCCCATCCCAGGCCTCCACCTACCTTCCACACCCCTGGGGGTTTAGCCACTTACTATCAGCTCCAGAGACCCTGCCCAAGGAGTTCATTCTACCGAAGAACCAGGGGGTCGGCAATGGTTCTCAACCTTTCACATTCGTCATAGTGACTTAGGAGTGCTTTAAGATGTGTAGATACCTGGGGGCCTATCCTTGCAGCTTCGGATTCAGCAGGAAGGGCCAGGGCCCAGGAATCTGCATTGCAAACACTATGTAATATTGAACAGTTGAAAAGCTGCTTTAAAGACTCAGATGCAGGGACACCAGCTCAGCTCAGGTGCTCAGCAGAGGCGGGGACCCTCTGTTTTCCTCTACAGAGCTCCCAGAGCTCCCAGAGCTCTTCGGTGTCCCTGAAGATGGTCCCCGCAGAACAGGGGCCATAGCCAGGTACCCTCAGAGCGACATCTCCTCCCCTCCATCTAGACCCAAACCCTTTTCTGGGTAAGAACTAGCTGACAGACAAGTCAGTAAGGTCACCTGAATGAACCCAAAGAGCCCCAAAACCAGAAAGACAAGAGAACTGAGATACCTATCACCTCCTAAAGCAATCACTCCTCAGCCCTGACAGCTTTACCTGTCTCTTCAGGAAAGCGCTGGACTTGGGGTCTGCAAAGGCAAATAGCATTGCATTAATGGTCCTATTAATTTAAGGGGATCTCCCTCTTTCCTCAACCCGGTCCAGGGAGACTGAGCCCCAGTGGAGGCCATGCCTCACTGCCCAAGAGGGGCTGGTATCCTTGCTGCTCGGCAGCTGAGGCTAGGATACCCTGAAAATTCTGGAAACCACCAAGCCCCATCAGCGGCATGACTGGAAGCTCATGTCTGCCTGATGCTCCCCTGATGTCCCAGACCCAGGGACAGGATGCAGGGCAGGGGAGGGAACCCCTTCCCCTCCTTGGACACCATCTTCCAGACCCCTGGGACTCAGGGGACCAATACAGGTCAAAAAGTAGGGCAAAAACAATTCTGTGCCTCCCTTTTAAGGTTCAGCCTGGGATTGAAAAATCTTGCGTTTCCTTACACCAGCCCCACTCACTTGCGTGTGAAGATGCTCCTTCTCTCTTCATTCTTGTTGATTTCTTGACTTAACTTACTGAGAATCCTGCGAGATAAAGAGAAAGATGAAGAGACAAAACCATCTTCTCTCAGCCTCAACCTTCCCCCTGACCCTTGACGTCCTGTGGTCTGCAGAACTTTGGGGCACCAGGGCCAACTTTGGCCAGCCTCCTCTGTCACCTCTGCAGGGACCCTCTGCTCCTCACTTCCTCCCAGAATTTGCCACCTTCCTCCCCAGGCCAGACGTTCCTCCTGCCCAGGAAGTACACTCTCCTTGCTGATCTGTGTCTGGCTGAGCCTTCCAAGTCCAGCTCAGAGCTTCTCCGTAAAGGCTTGTCAGTTCACACCTGGCTTTCCCTCCAAACGTTGGGATCCTTAGGATCTGGATACAACAGCTGTGCATTTTCTCGTCTTACTCTTCCTGGGACTGAGGTCCCCTGGCTCTTGCATGACTTGGCAGTGCTGTCTTGTCCCCAAGAATCTTCAGACTATCTTCTAGACCCAGAGGAATCAGCTGCTCCTTGGAGATTTCTTAGCATAACCTCTAATGGGCTGTTCTTCGGCCGTCGTCTCCCTCCATCTTCCCCTCCCAAACTCCCACTCCGAGTGGATGTGTAAGATGTGGATTCTTACAAAAGCTTGGGGAGGTATTCTCTATAAAGGCAGGGCCTGCAGAATGAGAGACTCCTTGAATCACTCATGCCCCTGAGGCCAGCTTTCTCGAAGACACTTGAAGATATGCTTAGTCCCCAGGTACTTTTATGTCAGAACTAGCAAATCTCCAAAGCTCAGGATGGAGCTCGGGGAGCTGGGGCAGGAGTGCTTTGCCATCAGAACTGCATGTCCAATATGCCCGAGCAACAAGCATCCATTCTAGTCTCTCAACCATCCAGAACTTACGACTCCAGCCCCACTTGGTACCCACTGATGAGACCAAGGAGACCCTCAGTAGTCCACAGGTTTAGTGTTTCCTGGAGACTGGGGCAACTGGAAGGGACTTCAGATTATCTAGTCTAATTTCATTTTACAGAGGAGGTAGCAGAGGCCCGGACAAAGAAGGGGCTAGCTTGAAACCATGTAGTTGTTAGTAGTAAAGGCCACCTCTCTTCCCACAACTCACACCAGCACCACAAGCCAGCCTTTCTAATCCCCAAGCCAGCACCCTTGCAATACACATGCCCATGTGTCAGTTCCTTTCTGCTGCAAGCTCTCCGGAGGCAGATACTGCTGAGTCCCTGGCCTGCCTATGAGAATGACACATGATCTCTATTCCTTCTGCTTAATGACCATCCCACGGTAACAAGTTTAGCCTAAAATAAACTTGCTAAGTTAGCAAAGGAAGTCCTTAGCAGCCACCAAGTCTTGATTCCTCTATCACCTCCCCTGCCCCTCGACTCCCCGATTTCTCCCAAGAAATGGGCTCCAGGCAGAGCACGGTGACTCATGCCTGTAATCCCAGCACTTTGGGAGGCTGAGGCGGGCAGATCACTGAGGTCAGGAGTTTGAGACCAGCCTGGCCAACATGGTGAAACCCTGTCTCTACTAAAAATACAAAAATTAGCCGGGCTCGGTGCTTGCCTGTAATCCCAGCTACTCAGGAGGCTAAGGCATGAGAATGGATTGAACCCGGGAGTCAGAGGTTGTAGTGAGCCAAGATCACTCCACTGCACTTCAGCCTGGGCAGTAAGAGTGAAACTTAAGAAAGAAAAAGAAAGAAAGAAAGAAAAGAAATGGGATCAAAACCCTCCTACCTCATTAGAACAACAGGATAGACAAATTTTGATAAACAGGCTAGGTACCGAAGAGGAAAGAGGAGAAAGGGAAAGACTTACTCTCTGTAAGTGTGTTGCTGGTGACTCCAGGCTTCTGTGACTGCAGAGGAAGAGAGGCTTTAGGAGCAGCAGGGGGGCTTCCTAGTTGCCTCCTGACCATGCTGTCAGAATGCTCATGACATGCGGTTCTTTTGGGTTCCTTTAAGGGGTTGTTTCCAGAAGGCGATGGATATGTGGGATGAAAGGCTCCTACAGAGCGGGCAGGGAGCCCTGTTAGTGTCCTGTGTCCTGGTCGTGCCCTGGCCATGTCAGGCGGTGCTGGCTGCAGTTTATTCAACAATGTATATCAAGGGCCTTCTACGTGCCAGGAACGTAGAAGGTCTCAAGGTGCATCATCAACTTAGAAGTGCTCAAGGTGCTCAAGGTGCAACAGACAAAGATCCTTAGTAGTGGAGAGAGAGATTTAAGGAGGTGAAATGTGAAGGCTATGCACCATGCACATGCAGGGTCGGGGGCTGGGGAGGGGGATGGGAGTGCAGGGGTGGGGTGTGGTTGCCATTTAAAATGAACCGGCCTCACTGAAGAGGTGACATTTCAGTAATGACTTGAGGGAGGTGGGACTGATGCTCACCTCAGCGCCCTCCACCTACAGACCCTGATGGGGCTCTGACCGGCTCACAAGGCCGCTTTGGGTCTTGAAAGGACCTCCTGCTCTCTGCGGTGTTGCCTGTCACAATATCTCTAACAGCTGGGTTGGAGGCTGCTGGGGCTCGATCTGGGTGAGGAAGGAAATGCCAAACCGCAGGCCCCAGCACAGGAGCAACAAAGAGCTGAGGGAGGGCAGAATAGGGCCTGGCAGTTGGCGTGCAGCACAGTGTGGGCTCCCAGAGCCCTTCGGCTATGATGGGCTGCAGAGAGCTGTGGGAGCCCTGCCGGGGCTGGGGGGCGGGGCGACCGTGATGGTGTGCCGGCAGGGAAGTGGTTGCTATGGCTACAGCTATGTGCAAACCTTCAAATGACACCCCACCCCTGGAGGACCAAGTGACAGTGAGTGGAGGGAGGTGACTCATTCTCCCTTCACCCCATAAACCCCAGGCCTCTCTCAGGACCAGAGCAAGAAGTGATGGGGGCTGGGCAGCCACAGTGAAAAAGCGGTCCTCTCCACTTGCCTTTGTTTGAGGAACTCACTGGCCTTGGAAATGGACTGAACCTCCCCCCAGGAAGCCAGCCCGTTGTAGGAAGGCAGCATTCTACAATGACCTGGGTTCCAGTCCGGCTGCATGCCTACCTTGCAGCATGGTGGGGGCCAGTCTTCATCTTGTCAGTCTAAGGTCTCTCCCGGTGAAGTACAGGGAACAAGGCCTGCAGGCACAGGCAAGCTGGTGACAATGTCCAGCCTCAAGGGCAGCGCCCACTGTGTGAGCTCAGACAAGGGAGCCGCTCTGCCTGGCCCCCGATTCCTTATCAGCACAGTACAGGGATTGAATCTGATTACGGAATCCCTGATGGGCCTGATCATCATGATTCCCTAGCTGTACCTGTTACAAACTCCAATCACCAGGCCCAGTCTAGACCTACCTGAACAGACTCTCCAAGGAGAAGCCTGAGGCTCAGTGACATCAACCCACCCCAGGTGGTTTTGATTATTATAGAAAAAGCTTGTGAAATAAATTCTGTTATTCTTAACACTGAAGAAATTGGTTGCTTGCTTGTTTTGAAGAAGAGGAGAAGGAAAGGCAGGAGAAAGAAAGGCAGAAGGAACTTTGTGATTATGGAGGGTGCAAAGCAGGAGAGTTGGGGTATGTGGGGCCTTAGCCGGCCTTTGATGTAGCCCATCAATTCTCCCCTGTGCTTGAACAACTGTGAAGGAAGCCCCACTAGGGGGTCTAGAAATCAACTTTGCTATTCACACAAGAAGAAAGAAACTATACAAGAAATGCAGGCTGGCAGGCAGGCAGAAAAGAAGGGATAGAGGGAAGGTGGAAGGGGCGGGAGGGGAGGGGAGGGAAGGGAAAATATCAGTGCACAAAGCATGAGTAAGAATAGGCATTGTCCCATGAAAGTTCCATCTTCCTTTGCTCTACTGTGGCATGTGTAGCTGTGTTCTGGCTGATGATGTTGAGCGCATTCTTGCCACAGCTCACATGGTAAGAGTTTTGGCCAACTTCCCACCTACTCCTCTTATGGGACCCCCTGCGGTGGGAGCCTTGTTTCCTGGGCTCAGATTTCAGACTGTTTGCTGGTCCCTCCCAGGACAAAGCTCCCAGGCCCTGGGCAGGGCAGAGGTCTGCCTCTCCCCCGGAGCTGTTCTCAGTGGGACGCTGGAAGTCAACTTCTCCTCACCCCTCCTCCCTGCACACATTCCTACTCTCAACCCTGCTCTCTCTCTACATTCCAATCTTTCTTCCAAAGAACAAAGTGTTCTTTCCGTCTTTAAAGATCAGCCTCCTTGAACCAAAAGCCAAATCTTTTAAATTCTACCCTTGTCACCTGAGACACTGGGGGCAGCCAGATGTTTTAAGACTCAGGAAGGAGCCTTTGACCATCCCTGAGGCCTCGGTTGAGAGTGTATGAGTAGGACATAATAATTTGGAGAGACAGGATGGTCTCCCTACTTCTCACGCATGTCCCTCACCCCTATAATTCTACACGTAGTGTTTTCCTGGTGCCTCACAATCATTTTCCTGGTAGACAAGCATAATTATTCTCATTTTTACAAATAAAAAATAGGCCTGGCTGGGAATAGTGGCTTATGCCTGTAATCCCAGCACTTTGGGAGCCGAGACGGGTGGATCACTTGAGGTCAGGAGTTTGAGACCAGCCTGGCCAACATGGCAAAACCCTATCTCTACTAAAGATACAAAAATTAGCTGGATGTGGTGACAGGCACCTGTAATCCCAGCTACTCGGGAGGCTGAGGCAGGAGGATTGCTTGAACTCAGGAGGCACAGGTTACAGTGAGCTGAGATCGCAACACTGCACTCTAGCCTGGGCAACAAGAATGAAACTCTGTCTTCGGAAAAAAAAAAAAAAAAAAAAAAAAAAAAAGGCAGGGCTCTGAGGATCTGTCAAAAGCCAAGAGAAGGAGCAACAGGAGGGAAGCACCTTTCCTGTGGGAGGACCCTTGAGGACTGATGAGGGCTGAGTCCCTGGACAGGGATTAGCCACTGAATGGTACAGGGGAGGACCATGTTGGAGACGGGTCTTGTCGTTCTGGTTTTGCTGAGGGCTGGCCACATTCTTTAACAGGCACGAGACCGTTCATTTCACCTCTGTGTCCCTTCCTCCGTACCTTTCCTGTTTTCTCTGTCTCAGGTAAAGAAATAGGTACAAAGGAGATGCCTCAGGAGGTTGTTTCTGCCATTAGGAGACTCACAGCCTTACAGGAAGACACACAAATATTTCTGCATTATTTCTCAGCTTGAATCTTATGTTTTCCCAGCCTAACTGCACTATTGGTAATGGCTACAGGGAGAATCCACAGAAAGAGCATCATCCAGTACCTGTCTGCTGCCTACCCTGCCTACTCTGCCACTCTCCTCTCCTTATTTTTAAAGTTACACTGTGGATTTAAGTATAAAACTTATAACATCCCCTCCTTTAACGAACTCCAAATGGGCACCAGAAGATTTGAACGTGTATTCATGTACCGATTGATTTAACAAGACCATTGTCATCTCTACCACGAGGGTCAACCTAGGCCCTATATAAAGGGAGCTTTCATATTTTTCTTTAAACATCCTGCACCTTTACAATTTTGGAGGTGTCCTGGGATCAGCCATGTCTTGAGAGAGTGACTGACTGCATTTTCAGGCTGAGAGAGCGTTCCTCACCACAACTCGCCTTCTTAAAAATCTATTTAATACTTGCATTTTAAGCATTAGGGAAGGAAATAGAGACATTCAGGGGAGTGTAACATTGTTTTGGTTTTCTGTACATGAACACAATTTCTTTTTCAAAGGCCTTTGGGGTAACAATCAAGACAAATAAACCTATGTATAAGGGATGGAATTAATAAAGTACTGAACACCTGTGAGTATCCAGGGCAGCACCAGGCAATTCATGTGTGCTGCCTCCTTTCATGTCCCCCGCTCTCTGAAAGTTAGCTCTTTTCCCTTCTACAGACAAGGAAACTGAGGCTCCAATTGCTGAAATGATTTCTCCAACGTCTCATAGCTGGTGGGAGGCAACGTCAGCTTTAGAGCCTGGGTCTCCCTCACTCCAAAACACTGTGCTCTCTATTCTTTAATCCCCCCTCTCCAGCAAAATAGAATAGTTAAAAAGTTAAAATTATTCTAATTGAGATTTTACATAAAGCAAGAATAGCCAACACTTATCCAGTGAGTATTGTTATTTCCCTGCTTTTTCCCCTAACTTTCCCATTGACCATCATTATCCCCATTTTACAGATGAGGAAGCTGAGGTTCGGAGAGCTGAGCTAACTTGCCTCCGAGTCACACAGCTTGTAAATGGAAGTATTGGATTTCAAGCATCTGACCTTACTGCCTGTGCTTTTTCTCACTGAGCCTTTTTATACCCAAAATAATAGCATTTAAAACAAGTGATTTTGTATAGTCTCTGTAATCCATCCCTTCCTTTTATAGTTTAGGAAGCTGAGGGTGATCTAGGGATGTGTCCCAGGTCACGTAACTCATTGGAAGTAGAGCTGGAATTGGTCCTTGTTACACATTTCTGCCAAGAGGGACAGTGATTCTCTAAGTCACCTCACCAGGGCAGCCTGGACCTTCCCTTGATATCTTCTCCGTCATTATCCACACTAACCCTTCATGTTCTATGGGCAGGCCTCAGTTTTTCTAGGGTGCACATTCAAACACATTGGAGGAGGGGATTACACCATAGGCCAAGTTTTTGTTTCAGTTTTCAGAGAGCTAAAGAAGTATCCCACCCCAGCCCATTCACATGTTCCTAACTCCCTCTTTCATGGAGAATCAACCCCTATCACCTTCTCCAGGCTCTCAAAAAAGCCAGAAGACAGCAGCTGAACTTAGCCTTAAGATGAAAAAGAGTCTTGCAAGCTGGAGGTGCATTCTTTATCTCTGTCTTCCCACTGTTCTGATTAAATATCCTCCATCCCCCATCTTCACAGATACAGCCCTAGGAAAAGCTCCTAGCTTATTAGTGGGATCTTGGTCACCACCAACTAACTTGGTCCCATGTCCCCAGCTGGGCTCTCCTTCAAATTATCACTTACATGCCCTGGACAGAGATAAGACATAAATTTACCTTGATGCTCACTGCACTCACACTCTCTGGCTCCTGAGAATGGCTCATGGGACCTTTATAAATTGTGGCACACACCTCTTAGCCAGTCACTTCAGCCTCTGCTTTCCACTCCCCCAGGTATATGCCCCGGCCACTCTGCCCCACTGGCCCTTCCACCAGACACACTGGGTGGCGCCTCTGTAATACCTTCCCATTTCTGGAATGTCCTACAATCCATCCTTCCTATTTCAGGATTTATTTTGGGTCCCTTCCTCCCTTATCTGCCCTAAACACTGTGGGAAAATGACTGCTGCCTTCCTATGAGCCCTTGAACCTGGGCATGCATGCATGTGCAATTGCACTGCTGTAATTGTTGTATAAATTGCTTTGCTTGTCTGTCTCTCCTCCCTCTAGAATGCGAGTGTCCTGAGAATGAAGATTCTGTTCCATATCTTTGTAGCCTGAGTGATTTTAACAAAGGCCTGGCACATTGTAGTTACTTAGTACCAGTTCACTCAATGAATAAAGTGTTATTGAACTATGAATTTTGTATAGAGATCATAAGATGCAAACTCAAATGCCCTCAAGGGCCGTGTACATACATAGACCTACGTAGTTACCATTTCTGGCACTCTTCATTCCTATGCACACATCCAGGTTAACATCTGGTATCATTTCCTTTCTGCTTGAAGGACTTTTAAAAGGCATCTGTGGTAGTACATTTCAGATTTTGTGTGTCTTAAAAAGTCTTCATTTTCATTTTTGAAAGATGCTTTTGCCTAGTATTGAAGTCTAGATCAATAATATGTTTCTTTTACTATTTTGCTTTCGAGAAACCTGCTGGGATTCCTGTATTTGCTTCTCTGTGTGTAATATGTCATTTTTTTCTGACTGCTTTTAGGATTTTCTTTTTATTGTTGGGTTTGAGTGATGCTGTGCCACGGCCTGGACATTCTCAAAGCAGCAAGCAACCATAGGCTTCACGGTCCTTGTTTCTCATCCCTCGTTGTCTGATGCTCAATGTCTTGAAACTTTTTGCTTCATATATTTTGCCAGGTTATTTGGTTATTTCAGGTGGGAAAGTAAGTCTAATCCCTCTGACTTCATCATGTTCATAGACAAAATTCCAATAATATGATATAAATGATAGATTTATGTCCTACCTTAGGATGATCCCTCAGGGAATGGTGGGGCCATGGCAACTGGGAGCACAAATCTCAACTAAATAGGGCAGCAGACATCAGATCCAGCTGACTATTGCTACAGTAGCATATAAGCCCTCAATTGCCGCATCTTTCACTTGTTTCTAAAGAAACAAGTGAAAGTTTTCCTGGTTTCAAAGCACAGTGGGAACCAAACTTAACACATGTGCAGCCTGGGACTGGCCCACCAGCCACCAGTTCTGACCCCTGTGTGTAAAGGTCCCTCTTTTGCAAAGAACTATGGTTTATCTCTACAGCATTACATTTCTGCAATCATTGAAATGTTCTGTATCTGCACTCTCCAGCATAGTAGTCACCAGCTATATGTAGCTATTAAAATGTGGCTAGTGCCTCACGAGAATGAATTTTAAATTTAATTTAAATTGAAGTAGCCACATGTGATTAGAGGATATCCTTAGAAGGATCAAGCCATCTTCAACAACATGTGTCCCTGAAGATAGACAGCACCAAAGGCAAATCCTTATTCCTCTCTTTCCCTTCCCCCTTCCACACAAGGGAAATCTGATAGTCATGCTAAAAATATTTTCCTTGAGCTGCCAGCATTCCTACCTATTCATGAGACTGTCCCACCTTCTACTACTTTAATCTACTTCCTTTTTATTATGATGAGCTCTGAGACCCTTAGAATAAGAGAAGGGTCCTCATAGAATGTCCAGAATAGAGAACTAAAACTGGTAACAAACAGGCTATATGTAGCCCTTAGGTGGGTTTACTGTGGCATTCACAATATTTGAAACATTTGAGCCAATGTTTAAAAGTTGAGACGTATTATATGAAACCCACATTTCTAGTTATTCTTGACAAGTTTGAAGACTGGACATTGTCGGATTCACATTGGCTGGAGTTGAGAGCTGCTGCACTCTTTGAATGGAGCATATGATATCTGATTTGCCATAATCCCCACCATTCCCTATTGTTTCACCAACAATGAGGCTTTGTGGTGGTTACTTTTTTCATCATATGATAACTGTGGTATTATATTTCTTATAATGGAGAACTGTTGCTTTATACAGAATATTTGCCACTATTTTGTCCAATATGATAAAACAAAACATAAAACAACAGAGCTTTGCATTTTCAATCTGGCCAATTTTACACATTTATAACACCTGCCTGGCTCCTGTAGGTACTTGAGTATGTGAGACCTTTGCTAGAGGGATGAAAAACACATGGCATGACATGTGTACTGCAACTTCCCATTTCAGCACCCATGGCAGACATGAATAATCAATCATAGCTCCATTTCCTCAGGATTCTTCTCAACATTACAGCCCTGGCAACCATTCCCAAGCACTCAGTATCAACACATAATCATGTCCATTGCCGTCATCTGGTTCAACTCTCATTTTACTGTGTGAGAAATGGAGGTCAAGCAAACTCAAGCCATCACGGAGTCAATGACGATGCCATGATGAAACCTTGACTCTGGTGCAATTTTCACAGGCCCAAGCACCCCATGAGAAGAGAGGAAATGAAAACATGGACCAGAGCTGGGTTTGTCTTTGGCAAGAGCATCCAGGTCACCAGCTGGGCTGGATCTGTGACTTCTGTTTTCCAACTCTTCATATCACTTCTGTTCCCCACATCCTGCCCTTGCCCCCGTCCTTTCTACTTGGTTTCTTATTTCAAGTCAACAGTGATATAGAACTGACTCAGCCCCCACTCACACTACTCCCCATTCCCACCTCTGTTCCCCAAATCACCTATAGAGTTGGAGGAGTACTTACGGCACCCGGAGCTTGGGGAACTTCTGGATGTCATTTTCCGTCAGATTCTAAAATGAAGACACACAGGGCAGGCAGATTAAAACCCACAGAAAGGGCTCTGAGTGGGAGGGGAAGAGTGATATGTGAAATAATATAGGGAGTGGTGGGGACTGTGGCAAATGAAGGAGAAATGCCCTGCCCACCCCACCCCCCCACCCCAAAGTGGGCAGCCGCAGCAGGCGTTCCCAAACTTTTTACGCAGGGGGCCAGTTCACTGTCCCTCAGACTGTTGGAGGGCCGCCACATACTGTGTTCCTCTCACTGATCACCAGTGAAAGAGGTGCCCCTTCCTGAAGTGCAGCGGGGGCGCGGATAAATGGCCTTAGGTGGCCGCATGCAGCCCGCGGGCCCCAGGCCGTAGTTTGGGGACGCCTGCCCTAGAGGCTTTGCCTGAAAGCCCATGGGCCTGGTGTTGCTGGATCTGCTTTTTCAAAGGGAATCCTTAAATCTGGATTTTATGTGAAATGCTCTGCGTTCCAAATGTTGGCAAATAATTTTGACTTAAACACTGTGAGAGCTCGATCTGTGACACCAAACGACTCGTTTTGTGGGCTGCATTTGGCCACGGTGTGACTTCTTCCTACACCCTAGACCTCAGGCCCCCTCAGTCTCCACAATGTCAGCTGCCAAGAAGTCAGCCTGGAGGAGTCCATGGCTTTTTGACCAACATCACACCCCGGAGAACTTCTTTCACCAGGGTTATTGGTAGAATTCTCAAGATACTGGGGATACCGTAAAAGGCTTTCCTGAGGGAATTGGAAAGGGGAGGAGAAAGAAATTCACATTTGCCAAGAACTAACTCTGGGCCGCCACCTCTTAACACCTTAGTGAATCCTCACATCAACTCTGTGATGCAGGAGTTACCAGCATTCCCATTTTGCAGGTAAGAAAGCCAAGGCTTGGGATGTCAAGGGGATTTCTGCTTGTGAGGGGTGAGCTGGGGCTGGAACTCCACTCCATGGCATCCACAGTCTATTTTCTTCCTGCAAACCTCCATCCTGCCATGTCTGATCCTTTTGAGGGCCCCCATGGTCTATGTTAGAGGGGAGGACGGAAGGAAGGGTGAAAAGAGGCACCTGGAAGGGAGGAGGAGAGGCGCGCGTGTCAGAATTGGGAATAGAAAAGAGACTGGGAATGCTTCCCATAGAACCAATGATGAGCCAACAAAGGGCTCCACCACCATTCTAGTTAAGGCCAAGGAGCTGGGTGGTTAGGGTGGGAGCTCTGGAATCAGATGGGCTGGGTTTGAATGCTGGTTCATTCACTTAGCAGCTGTCTCATTTAGGACACACACTTTGCCTCTCTGAGCCTCAATTTCCTTATCTGTAAAATGGGGACCATAATAATGATAATGACACCTACCTATCAGGGTTGTGAGGACTGAGTAGGATGATGTATGTGATGTGCTTTGGCACAGTGCCTGGCAGAGTGTGTGACTGAGAAATGAAGGAGTAAGATGAAGAATCACTACTCGTGGAGGGGAAGCAACAGGGGTCGGGGTGAGTCTTAGAGTTTAGTGTTTTTGCTTCTTTCCCTTATCTGTACTGGGAGCTGCTTGTCAGGTTCTCTGACCATTGGAAAGATCTGGGCACTGAGCTGGCACAGAGGCTGGGGCTGGGCATCTTTGCAACGTGTTCATTGGATCCCTCTGATTCAGCTCATAGGCACGGTTTCTGATCCAGATGCTGATCAGACCACCCGAGGCAGGGCTGGGGAAGGAGGTCAGCCAGAAGTCCTGAGGGCACCAGGCTTTTGGTTAAGCTTCTTAACTCCTCCTTTCTCTCTCTCTCTCTCTCTTTCTTCTTTCTTTTCTCTTTCTTTTTTCCCTTTTTCTTTCTTTCTTCTTTCTTTCTCTTTCTTTCTTTCTTTCTCTTTCTTTCTTTATCTCTTTCTCTCTTTCTCTTTCTTTTTTTCATCACTGAGCAGCAGCATCTCCCTGCTCCTCAACTACCCCCACTCAGGGAGGTACAAAGACTCATGTTTTGAGTGCGGCATAAGGAGTTGAAGGCTTCCTAAGCGGTGCCAGAGGGGCAACAGCTGAGCACCGAGCAGCTGGCCACTGCCACCAGCTTCTGCTTTGCTGCGAGGAGGGCGTAAGCTGAGGGAATTTCAGGAAGACTGTGGAGGAGGAGGTGGACATGAGCATGGCTGGAGACATAGAGGAGCAGGGTGTTAGGAGAGAGGAAGACATTCAAAACAGGGACAAGAACTGTGAGGAAGGATAAGAGATGCTGAAACAGAATTTTTGGAGAGTTTTGCTATGTGATGTAACCCTCTATAATCCTATCCTCCACCTCTTCCAAAAGCCTTCAGCAAACTCTGGGTTAGTTGGATGATAACTTTGGAGTTATGATTTGTGGCTTTGTGGGAGTACGATTATATGCTGTGGGTGTTGAAAAGAGGGTACAGAAAGAGGAAAGCCACAGACTGGGCCCTGGTGGGAAAGGCAATGTGCCAGACACAGCTGCTGGCCTATCCAATACCCACTCTCCCTTTTTTCCCCACTGACAGGTCCTGGATTTCATTCAGGGCAGTAAATGTGCTTGTTCAAAATATTTAACTCCCCAGACTCCCTTGCAGATGGTGGAGGTCACATGACTCTGCTGTGGACGGTAAGATATAACTGAAGTCTATCGGATGGAGCTTATGGAAATGTTACTACGTTTCTGGAAAAAAAGGAGCATGCGTTTTCCATTCACCATACACCTTCTCCTCTTTGCCTTTCTCCCCTCCCTGCGTGCCATGGAGATAATGATGCCTAGAGGTGAAGTGGCCAACTCACAACCATTAGGACAGAAGCCACAGGCTTTTTTCCATAGGTGAGATGAAGCCTGGGTTCTTGATAACTTCCTTCACCATCCCCAAGCACTCACCCATACATTTCCTATTACTTGAAACGGACCGATCCTTATTTGGGTAAGTCACTGTGGTCAGGTTTCTGTGACATGGGATAGCATGCCTTCCCCACTGACGCAGGTCTCCAACTTATTTTCTCCTCTTTTTATGCCTTCTAGAAGCATAGCACCCCCATTTTCCACCAGATAAGATTCTATCCTTTTCAGTGGAAAACAAAAATGGCAGCCAAAGCAAGCAAGTAAGCAAGAAAGAGAAAGAAAGAAAGAGCAAGAGAAAGCAAGAGAGAGGGAGAGAAGGAAGAAAATTAGAGAAGGAAAGAAAGAGAGAGAGAAGGAAAAGAAAGAAGGAAAAAGAGAAAAAGAAAGAGAGAAGAGGGAGGGAGAGAAGAAAGGAGGAAAAGAGGGAGGGAGGGAGAAGAAAGGGAAGGGAAAGGAGGTCAGGGAAGAGGGGAGGGTAAGGGAGGGAAGGAAGGAAGGAAGGAAGGAAAACTAGAGCCTTTCACTTTTGCCTTCAATAGCAGAATGGCCCTGGATATTACAGAGCTGGGAGGAGTGATAGATGAGTAATTAGAGCTTAGCTAAAGAGTCCCAAACTGTACCCAGAGCACCCGGGGTTTCAGCAGAAGCTGCCTTTACATCCCCCAGTTGCTGGGGCAGGCACTGGATTCTGTTTCCTTTCTTCTGGTTCCTATCACCCTACTTTCCACTTTCTCTTCTTCACACGATGAACGGAATGTGTCACATTTTCTGAAGAACTGATAGAGGACTGATTGGAGCAGAGGAAACACAGCTGCCTAGATACTATCTCTCAGACAACCCTGATATACCAGACCTGACACTCACACCCGGAGTTTTGTGGGGAATCACAGAGCCGGAAGGGACGTCCTCCACTGTGACTCAGTCCAACGAGCTCAGTCAACAGAGTAGGAGGGAAGGGAGGCTCAGAGAGGGCAAGTGCCTGCTCAAGGTGACCCAGGCAATAGGACCTCACAGGCACCATCCTCAAAGATGTCCTCCTCTCTTTCCATTCAACTGTGATAAGTCTCTGTTCTCAGTGCTAAAAACACCAGAGTGAACTATTTGGGTTTAGCAGTAATTTGCAAGAATGGCACTAAAACTCCAGGAATTCTACTGACTCAGATCTCAACATGAATCAATAATATTGTTAAAACCTCAAATGATATTAGACTAAATTAAGTGTATGCTTTCGTTCAATGACTAGGTCTGTGAAATAGAACAAATCACATCACAGCTCTGCATGCGTTTCCTCATCTGCAAATGAAGCAGTTGGAACCATTTCTGAACATACGTTTCTGCTATAACACAAGCTTCTAGAAGGCAAAAGTCACATCTTAACCATTCCTCTATCCCCACCACCTATAATGCTCTCCAGTATGTAAAGGTAGCTTGGGAAACTGCTTGTCAAGTGAATGAATAGGCAAATGAATGAATGATTTAGGTGGACAGTGAATGAACATGTCTTATACTGCACCTGGAACTAAAATTTGAACCAATAGGAGCACAGGTTAGTTTCAGCATAAGATTTGAGAGCTGTCTAGAAGGGGCAGATGACTGTGGGTGGTGGTGAACGCACCATCACTGCAGGAATTCAAGACGAGGCTGGTAGCAGAGACGTAATGTAGGAAATGGATTGGTGTTCCCTGGGGACAAGTTGGAACCTCTGACCTCTCTGGTTTCATCCAACTGGCTTGAAGTATCGTTCGTGGTCAAGTTCCCTTACTGACAACATCTTATAGGAAGACACAACTTAGCTTACTCTCCTCACTCTGAATTTAAATTAGGAACACCTACCCCCGTAAGACCCTGGAAGTCTTGTTTCCATGTCATTTTCAAAAATTAAAGCAAAGTTCCCAGTAAGGATGGATTGGTGCAGTCAGGGTCTCTCTTAACCCGTGGGCAAAGGTGTCATTTCAAGGAAAATGCTCAAACCACCTCCCTGACCACAACCTAGCACCTCTGTCTCCACCATTAGAGCTGCATCCTTTTCTCTTTAAAGGCTTGGTCTTTAATACACTCCTGCACCTTGGTCTCAGACTTCAAGCTTTTTGAAGTCTAATACAGTGAAGACAGCCGTATCACACATGTGTTCAATATGGAATCAGCTTTATGAATTTATGAATGTGATAGTGAGAAAGAAGGAAGTGACTGAAACAATGAGGGTGAGGCCCCCCTTTATTCCACTCATGAGTATGTGCTCCAGAGTGAGAAATGGGAAGCGAGAAGCTTCTGTTCTCCCATGTGGTCCTTCTCCCCCTCGGGCTTCTCAAACGATGGATTGGCATTTAAATAGATTTTCCAGATTATTGTCTTACTGTACTTGGATTCCTCCTTAAAGTGTATGTGAAAGATCAGAGAGGGGTTCTGGATGGTAGGATCCTGAGGGCGAGGAGAGAGGGGCCCTACCAAATTTCCGGAGAAGGCAAAGGGCCGTGTGGGGATCCTAAAGACCGGCATGGACCATGGGTGTCCCCAGGGACGGGTTAGAGCAGCTGGCCCTGCAGCCATGGGGGAAAGTGCGGAGCAGCCTTGGTTTCAGTGTGTTGGACTAGCCAGAGCTTACCAAGAAGCGAGCCCCATCGATGTGGTACTTCTTCACCGCCTTCTCACAGTCCTTATAGTTCAGCTGCAAAGAGAAGGGGAAGGCGTTGTTAGTGACAGGCAGGCTCATACCATTGGCTCCTCTCCCTCCCTTTTCTGCCCCAGAAACTTAGCACTTTGCGGTAGTTGTGGCTAGCCAGGCTCCCCGCTGCACTCCCTTGGCTAACAGAGGGCCCAGTCTCCACCTCAGCCTCGCTTTCACTACCCCCTTGGGACTGCCTGAAATGGAGAAATTGCCTTGCTCTAAGGCTTCGGGGCCAACCCTTCCAGAAAAACTGCCTTCAAGGCATGCGGAGCTCTGCCCCTATGCTCCTCAAGGAAGGCAGAGCGGAGCTGAAAGAAGAAAAGAAAGACCATCTGTTGTCTCCACGCCCAGAGACAACCTCGGTGTTTCTTTCGGTGCTTTCTCCCTAGCAGGTTTCTAAATGTAATTGAGTTTATAAGTTATATTCAATCTCATTATCCTGACTCTTTTCTCTTAAGTTACCTAAAAGGATAATATAAACACTGCCTACTGAGTGCTGTGCAAATTCAATGTAAGCATTATTTTAATGACCACAACATTATTTAATCATTCGTTATTGCTGAACATTTAGATTGTTTACCAAACAGCTGCTTCAATAATGATAATAAAAACAGCTAACAGTTACTGAAAGCTTTCTGTATGGCAGGCACTGTCCCAAGTAGTTCAACCAGTCTCCAGTCATTTAACCCTCACATTTTGCAGATGGGAATGAGAGGCACAGAGTCAAGTAACTTGCATGCGGCTCCATGGATTTGAGGTGACAGTCAGGTTTCAGAACAGGCTTTAGTGTCTCGGTCAGAAATGTTCCCCTTTTAATAATAGTATAACTTACACACAGTAAGCAAAGTGAGCAAATGAAAACTCAGCTTCATCTGTTTTCAGTACGTCATCCCAATCAAAATAAAGACCATCACGGATACTATTTTGCAAAACTTTTTTCTCCCTCTTTGAGACAAATTGTTTAAGTCAGAGTCTCAGAAGTTCAGTTATGTAGAATCCACAGGAATGAGCATTTTTAAGAGCTTGGTTATTTTCCTAAACCAATCAGCAAGGATATGAAGTGCTGGTTTTGACTTGTCCTCAGCTGCATAAATGCTCACATTTGAAATATCTCTCAGCTTGCTGCTTTGGGCTGGAGCATTTAAGGTTCAACGTTTCTCCTTGAGGATCCTACGTTCTCCTCACGAGGGTGGGCCTCACAATTTGTAACAGACTTCTTTTGGAGCAACTTTTAAACCATATTTTTATCTTACAGCTGACAAATCCAAAGAATAAATACAATTGTTGTGACGTCTTGGCTTGGAGGAGTGGAATTGATATCACACTCAGAAAGCTGACTAACAAGCTGATATTGAAAGCACGCCCCATCTATGGAGCCCTGGTACCCCCTTTATCTACAGGCAGCGGTTCTGGGAAGAGTCAACTGCCTTTAATTCATCATTGTCACCATCATCATTATCAGATAAATCAGATGATTTTGCAGAGTGCTAACTTGGTGTCTAGATCAGCAGAGAGCCCTGCAGACTGGGACCTAGGCATCTGATTCTGTTCCAGCAAGACCTGGGCTTGTGGACCTCAAATCTGTATTTTTAAGAAGCACCCTAGATGATTAGCCTATGGAGTCCAGCTTTGGCAGACACTGGTCCAGAAAAGTTACCTGGATTTGTAGTTAGGAAGGCTGAGGCCTCTAGAGGGAAACAGATTGGTCTCAGTTCACACAGAGAGCTGGGGTACCAGCTGGGATCCCATTTGGGATTAGGACACACAGCTCTGAGTCAGTGCCTCCCCACTGCATGACTCAAGAATGCTCTCTGACAAGTCAAAAGGAATTGGGGAGATTGAACAAATACACAACATGCTCTCAGTCCTCAGGAGCTTATATTCCAGACAAGGACGAGTTACACATGTGAGAGACAAGAAGACACAAAGTCCCACCAGTCTGCATGGTTGTCCCCAGCTAGGAGCCAGAATAGAGAAGGAAGAAGGGCAGATGGAACTTGCATTAGCACCCCGTCTGCTGGACTGTCTGCTGAGTGCCTTGTACACATCATTTCCTTTAATCCTGACAACCATCCCATTGTGTTGTTACTGTTCATGTCTCTGTTTCACTGATGAGGAAGTGGAGGCACAGAGAGGCAAAGAACTACAGGAAAGTCACCAAGCTAGCAGGTGGTAGAGCCAGGCCAAGGTGTGTCCGACTCCAGAGCTGAGTCGGGAGGTGTCTCCAAGGGAGGCCTGACCCCGCTACTTGGGTAGAATTTGCATCTGCAGATCAGTCCTTATGTGTCATGTTTGATGGCTGAGATCCATTCCCGAATGACTCTGCAGTCCATTCATTTGGCATTGTCTTTCAGGGGGTTGAGGTTCTCAGAATCTGAAGGGGCTCTATCTAAGTCTGTGGAGGGACTAGGCCTTCCAGGATCACAGATTCGCCTCAGTCTCCTAGTTTCTGCCCTCAGTTCATTTATGCCAGAAGAAGGAGCCTGCCTGGGTGCTGTAGATTTGTCCTGGGGTCTGAGATCTCCAGGAAGAAAACTCTCGCTTCCCCCAGCTCAGGCAGAGAGATCTTCCTGTACCATTCCTGACCAATGGTCCATCTCCCTGTGCTGACGGGAGGTTTAGGCATCGATTCTCTGTTGTTCAGCTGGATTGTATAATTCTCCTGGTCACACCTCAAAGTTCGGCCTGTCTGTGCCTTTCAGCCTGTCCCAAGTCTTTCTCTTCATAATTCTCAATTCCTTTCTTTTTCCTTTACTGAGGTAGCATGCCACTTTATTCCCTCTTAACAAATTACACCTTGTTGCCTTATCTTATTTGGTCTATATTTGAGAAAGGTATTTAGAAACATCCTTCAAAACCCAGTTGTGCAACAATGTTTGCTGAAACCTAAGTTTATTATGACCTTGCAGAAGGAAAATAACAGAAATAAAAAGCACAAAATATGGCAAAAAAAAAAAAAAAAAAAGAAACAGGATTTGTGAGCTGTACCCCTACCATACTGCACCTAGTTCAACATGTTAGCATTTTCTTCTTTAGGTTGGAGGAGAACAGCTGCAACTGTAAATACCATGGAACTGTGCAGACCCCAGGTTTGGCTATACGTCCCGTTGAATCTCAGTTTCCCCAGGAAAAACAGGAATTTGAATTAGATGACTTCTACGCCCTTAGTTTTATAATCTCATCTTTGTGACAGTCTGGAATATCAACAGAATCTGATGCCAGCCTGTAGGAATGGGAGTGTTAGAAGCTCGAATGTCTCTCACAAAGCATCTTGTCCCAGGGTCAGGGTAGACGGACCCGAAGTAAGTCATGTGGCCTCAGATCTGCCTAAGCAGATGTGTGGTCCCCTCCTACCAATGACCAAGCATAGGGATCCTTCAACCTTTCCTCCAAGTCCAGAAGATAAGACAGCAACACTCTGCTCCCAGCACTGCCACAAGCCTCTTCCTCTCTAGGGGCCTCAGTTTTCATAGCTATAAATTGGGGCTCTTAGCAGTTTTCTGGCCTGCTTCGTAAGACTCTCAAAAAGCTCCAAGGAGACTCTGCCCCAGGCGAGAGCTTGAGGACCCCCCCAGGGTCATGAGTAGTGAAAGCCCAAATGCCGTGTCTGGTACTGGTTGTCATAGTCCTCTATCCAGCCCTCGCACCCAGCGTGTTCTTTCTCCCGCCTCCAGAACACCACGTCTCTTCTTTCTAGTAAGTAGCCTTGATCTCATTAGCAGTTCCAACAGTCCTCTGTGTCTCAGAGCGTGGACTTTACAACCAGATAGGTGCGACTTGAATCTTGCCTCTATAACCTGGAGTCCCTAGGGCTTTGGACCATTTCACTTACCTGAGCTGATTTTGTAGCTGAGCCAAGAGGAAGAGAACACTGATCTCACAAGAGAGTAAGGAGTGATAAATGGGACAGTGCCTGTGAAGCCCCGAATTCAGACCCTAGCACATAATAGGCACATACTCATTTGAGGGCTCCTGCTCCCACCCTTCTCTCCAGAACGCATTGCCAGAAAAACTCAGCAGTCTATATGGCACTCACTCACCCAGTAAGGCTGCCAGAGGGTTAGTTCCATTGCTATCTTATACACCTCCCACATTCTGCCCCAAATCCATCTTCAAGCCTCAGTGCAGCCCACCAACGACAGACACTACCAGCATGACCACTCACACAAGAGCAAGGCTCACCTTCTTGAAATAGTCAGCAAGGCTGTTGGGGTCCCAGCTTAGGACCTCTGAGCGAAAGGGCACATTCCTCAGTGCCATGGCTGCTCTCCCGGGAGGAAGCTCACAAGCTGAGCATGGGTGCTGCACCCATGCGCAGAGAAGCTCAAATCCAGCGCTCGGAGGCGTTCTTGGCTCTTCCAACTCTCAGCTACCCTGTGGAACACCCTTGCTGGAGCTGATGTCTTTTCTGCTGTAGCCAGATCCCAGAAAGCAACGGCTTCCTCTGCGAACAAATATGGTCTCTTCTCAGAAAACGACTCAGCTAGTTTCCTTTACCACTTCCTCTGCTGGGCTCTAAATAAGTAAACAAGGAAGCTCAGCTCTGCGGGCTTGAGAGGCAGAGAGCGCCACAGAGCTGGTAATTCCTCACTGGCTCCAGTCACCCCGACCCAGCTGGAGAGGCAGTAAAAGGGTCTTAAACTCCAATGTGAGTCTGAGTATTTTTCCTTTAAAACTCCAGGCACCCATATGTCTACACTGCATTCTTGCTCAGCTGGGCCTTTGCAGTCTAAAATCGATCCTGACGATTGACCTGAAATCCAGACAATTGCCCACATCAGTGAACTGCTGGAGCACGGCCTTCTCATGCTTTCTAAACACCTTCCCTTCCCACCATCAGAGACTGGGATTCTTTCAGCTGCCTGTTTACAGTCGTCACGAGAGGGTCTTCAAGGAGTGAGTGAGTCAGGCACCCAGAGCTGAGCAAGGTGCGGCGCTGTGTAGACAAGACTGTTTCTGATGTGACGATTTCTGTGCTCTGTAACCTTAGGCAAGGACTTAAAAACTGGGGATCTCAGTTTCCATATCTGCACAATAGGAAAACAGAGCGATTCTTCATACACACATAAAACTTAGATGCATTTAACTAGACACACCTAAAAAGAAAAAAAGAAAAAAACTCAACAATTGCTATTGTTGATAGTGTCGTATATTCCATTCACGATTATTTCCACAATGTATTTTATTCACTATTGATTCTGCCATATATTCTAGCCAAAGAGCGTGTTCCCTGGAGATAAGAGGCGAGAACCTGCTGTTTTCTCAGTTCCAGACATTGTTCATTTCTCATAACTGAACAACTCATTGGCAGAGGGTGAGCCCAGTGTATAAAAGCAACCATATTTGTGCATTATGTCAGTCTCTAAACACAAATGACTACTTCATCTAATGCTACACACACACACACACACACACACACACACACACACACATTAAGTGATGCTTTGTTGGTCCTTGAGGTGGTGCCTTCCTGAGGGTTTTCAAGCATAGCTTTGGCCATGCAGTTTCTGTCTTATACACGTTCCCAGGAGCCCCGTCACCACTGTGATGCATCTGCCCCATAAGCTGGTGGACAGCTTAAATGAAATACACATTTTGCCTCAGACCCAGCACCTGGAAAGGGGCTTATCAGCATAAGCTAGTGCTGGCCTCACCTTAGAAGGCACTGAGGCCATCAGTCACGGTGGCCCAGGCCATGTGCTCCTTGCAGGGCTTCACAGCTAAGAGCTGGCTGGTAGCTGATCATGGTGTATAAAGCATAGCCCTGCTGTACAAAAGCTCCATCACTGGTGAGAGAGCTCACCTGGTGTTTCAAATCACTAGCATAGCAGTGAACAATAAAAATCCATGTGTGTTGGGGGGGGGAGAGAGAGAGAGAGAGAGAGAGAGAGAGAGAGAGAGAGAGAGAGAGAGAGAGAAATCACTTCGAAGTAGGGTAAGCACAGAGATGTCATGGAATTAACTGAGATTTAAGTAGGGCCGTGGAGGATGGAGCAGAAGGGAGGGCATTCCTGACCTGGATCAATCAATCTCTCTCTCTATCTCTCAAAACACATGCCACCTGTAACATTCCAGATCAACCTTAAAAGTAGAAGTAATTTTACTTTGTTTTATTTGTATTTTCTTTTAGTCTTTGTTTAGAGATGGAGTCTCCCTCTGTTGCCCAGCCTGGAATGCAGTGGTGTGATTATAGCTTACTGTAAACTTGAACTCCCGAATCAAGTGATCCTCTCACCTCAGCCTCCCAAGTAGCTGGGACCACAGTCACATACCACCACCATACTCAGCTGATTATTTTAGTTTCACACTTTTGTGGAGATGCAGTCTTGCTTTCTTTTCCAGGCTGGCCTTGAACTCTCAGTCTCAAATGATCCTCCCATCTTGGCATTACAAAGTGCTGGTATTATAGGCGTAAGCCACCAGGACTGGCCTAATTTTTTTTTTTAATGATGTTCACCCCACTCAGGATAAGAAAAATCTACAGAAAAGCAGTTGTAATGAAGGCATCACTAAATATTAAGCTCATTTAGAAAGAATTATCTCATGAACTTGGCCAAGATGGAGGATCCATGGAGCTCATTCTGAAGATAGACAGAGCAGTTAAGAAACCTGGATGACAGTAATGATGACGTTGAGAAACATGAGAGACACAATGCCTTGAGCTCTTCCTGTGTGCCAGGGAGCACAAGCTAAGAACTTCTTACCGACTGTCTTAATCGTTGGCACTATTATTGCCCCTACTCTGCAGAAGAGAAAATTGAGGCTCTGAGAGGTGAACTATTTGCCCCCTGAATCCAGCAAGCAGGGAGTGCATCCAGGACTCTTCCAAAGTTGACCTGAGTCCAGAGCCCCCGTCCTTGGCCATTTGCCCCCTTGAGGCTCTGAGATGTTACAGAAATTACCCACGGTCAAGATAGGATTCAAAGCCAGTCTGTCTCCAGAGCCTGTGCAGTTTCTTCTCTGTGGTCTCTGGCGAAGAGAAAGCGAGGTTGTCAATCTGACCAAGATCTGTAAAGGCTGCAGCACTCTTGGTGGCCCCCTCCCCACAGAACCACAGGCCCATTCCTCAGAAAGAGCAGCTAGCTGGCTCAAGGGGAAGTGAATTACTTTAGGTCTGGAGCCTTTCCTCCTCCCCAGGCCTCACCGATTTCCCAACACTCGTGAGTTTCACATCTCTTGTCTCTGGCTGCAGGGCTCCTGAATCTCTGGGGGCTGGGCTACTTATTCCCCAGGAGAGGCTTAGGAGACCAGAAGAACCAGTGTGACCCTGTTGAGGCTCAGTTGCAGGCCCCTCACCTGCAAAATGGGTCGGCCATGACAGCAGGCTCTGGGTACTGCCCCCGACAGGAGGCTGCCATGATCACAGAGGCCAAGGCTGGCAGGTGGGTGTACAGCATCTGTTGGCTTCAAGCACGAAGCAGAGCAGAGGGTTGGGATCCAGTAAGCCACAGGATTCGAAGCAGCGAGTGACCTGCAGTAAGGATACCCTCACCCATGTCTCTCTCCCTCCCCTAACCAGGTGGAGAACTTAGCACTTACGAAGGAATGAATGAAAAAGTTATGGAGGCCTTCTTAGGCTTTGCGATGCATAGCTCAAGATCTGGGAAAAGATAATCTCTGAGCAGAATAAAAACAACATTCTGGGGGCTGGGCACGGTGCCTCATGCCTGTAATCCCAGGACTTTGGGAGGCCAAGGCAAGTGGATTATCTGAGGTCAGGAGTTTGAAACCAGCCTGATGTATATGGTGAAACCCTATCTCTACTTAAAAAAAAAAAAAAAAAAAAAAATTAGCCAGGAGTAGTGGCATGTACCTGTAATCCCAGCTACTCCAGAGGCTGAGGCAGGAGAATCGCTTGAACCCGGGAGGTGGAGTTGTGGTTGCAGTGAACCGAGATCGCACCACTGCACTGCAGCCGGGGCACAGGGCATGACTCCCTCTCAAACAAACAAACAAACAAACACCATTCTGCTCCTACACAGGAACAGGGCTCCTGGGATAGAAACCTTTTTCCTTTTTTTTTTTTTTTTTTTTTTTTTTGGAAGATGGAATCTCACTCTGTCACCCAGGCTGGAGTGCAGCGGCATGATCTTGGCTCACTGCAACCTCTGCCTGCTGAGTTCAAGCCATTCTCCTGCCTCAGCCTCCTGAGCAGCTGGGATTACAGGCACATCCTGCCATGCCCAGCTAATTGCTTTTGTTTTTAGCAGATACAAGGTTTCACTGTGTTACCCAGGCTGGTCTCAAACTCCTGAGCTCGGGCAATCTGCCCGCCTCAGCCTCCCAAAATGCTAGAATTACAGGCATGAGCCACTGTGCCTGGCCAAGGGACAGGAATCTTTACCACACAACCAGTGGAGGCTGTGGACAAGAACGTGGTACCTGCAGGGAGGGCTGTGTCAGACTCTGAGAGCTTAGGAAGGAGCGGTGGATGTGCGAGCAGCACACTGCAGCCCAGAGCATCGCCCGCTCTCCTCCCCTCCCCACCCACCACATCCAGACTCCTAGCTCCCTCCCTTTCCCTCTGACCCACAGCAGAGTCAGGTGTGGAGATAACTGCCTTCCTTTGCAGCTAATTTTAGAGGTGAGAGAAATGCACAGTTCATTAGAAGAGACTTGGGAGTTGCAGCTTCTGTGTGCTGGGTTGGGAGAAGGGTCTGGGGAGTTGATGCTTAGGGACAGGGAGAATGGAAAGCAGGGACTTTACAGACGAGAATGTGTTGGCCTTCTTAGGAGAAGAATGAAAGAAGTTAGAAGGTGGGTGGGAGGAAGTGCTTACTTGAATTTGACTTGTACAGAGGGTCTTCACCATGGGAGAGGGAATGCGGTGGTGGCACGTGGCCTAGAGAGCATGCTGACGTGGGACACCACAGGCAATCGGAGGATGCCCTCGCCCATGTCCACCCAGACTCACTCCCACCAACTTTTTAACAACTTGGATTTATCACCAGAGGCTGAAGTGCCTTGCTGCTGGAACTTTCTAGAGGGCCTGCATGGGAGCAAAGGCTGCAGCTGTCATCCTCACAAGGAGAGGGGACCGTTTTCCCTCTAATGCAGGCCGTGGGAGCACCCTTCATGACTGGGATCCTTGTGGATGGCAAAGGGCTTTACCGCATGGGAGAGTCCAGTGGAGCGAGCAGAGTCAGAAAGGGGTCCCGACTTCTCTGCTGGACAGAGGGGCCCACACACTCCGTACAAGGAGGCACAGAACTCATCAAGCCAGCCTCAGAAGGAGTGTGCAGGCAAGGGGTGACCGGTCTCCCATGCAACGCATCCTCCAGGCCAGTGCTCACAGCACTCCGGCAGACCGTGGGTGGGAGGCTGTGGGGAGCGGCACAGGCCAAATCCTGGGGCCAAGAGAGCCCAGGTGCCGCTTGTGGGAGGCTGTGAGCAGCAGGCCAAATCCTGGGGCCAAGAGAGCCCAGGTGCCGCTTGTGGGAGGCTGTGAGCAGCAGGCCAAATCCTGGGGCCAAGAGAGCCCAGGTGCCACT